TAAAAGGTCTCCTCCCATGATGCTACCCATGAATTTTTGGTCTCAGGCTATGCAGAACGCATACTGGAGGTTTTCTCTTCCTTATCAAACAGCTGTTTGACATTCAACTAATTTCTCCCTGGGCTCCTTTCAAAACTTCCAGGTGCTATCAGAATCTCTGCTAAGGGAGCATTTGGGACTTGATTACTGTAGGAGAGAATAATGATTCAGTTATCTTTTTTTAGTTTAATGGCATTTTCTTGCCACATGGCAAATTTAGCCCTGCACTTTTATGGCAGCCTTTATCATTTGGGGCACTAATGTGAAGGCATTCACTGTATTAAATCCAGTAATTTCCAAATATCCTGATACTGTGTGCTACCTCATAACTCAGGTCAAAAAAGACACAACAATGCCAAATATAAAATCCATCTGTAATTGATGTATTTTTTATTAAAGGTAAAAGTACAAAGAGCGATTGCTGTCCATATACTAGGATCTCATTTCACTGCCCTTGTTGTGTGGCTCTGGAGATTGCAACATCTGCCTGTGTTTGATCGGTTGTTCCACCACTTTTGGTCCAGACTGAAATATGTCAACAAATATTGGACATATCGACATGAAATTTGGTACACATATTCATGGTCCCAATTTATCCAAATGACATTAGTGATTAATTTACTTTTCTTCCAGCACCACCATGAGGTTCACATTCTTGGTTTTGAGCAAAATGTGCTGTCAAAACTGTTTGAGTGATTGAGATTAAATGTGGTACATGCGTCAATGCCCCCCTCAGGATGAATTGTAATCACTTTTTTAACTTTCCATGTAGAGCCTCCATCGGGTCAAAATGTTAAGTTTATAATTAAATACCTGCAAAACTGTTCCATTCCCATCATTCACACTTGTACTTTGTGTGTAGTACTTATTAGCAATAGTAAGCATGCTAAGAGGCAAAAAAAAAAAAATTGTGAGGACATTGTGAAACTAGAGGGTGTATCTGCAATGCATGAAGCCCGCTTTGCAGTCATTATTGTTGCAAACATTTGTTCAGAACATTCTGTTCAAGCTCTGAAGGGGGAAATGTTACACTCAACTATCGTGGAGAGGCAAGAACATTTGACAGTCTATTACCCATACCGTTACTCTTCCCTGCCTTAAGATAATGCCAATAGGTTTTGCTGACTCACTCTTGCATAGTTAACTACATTGTTTACCATGGCAACAAGCACCTGCTGCACAGTATTTTTGAGAAATGGGATAAAGACTTGTCTTCCTGCCTTCTGGGATATTGTGCATCACCATGCACATAAAACCCCATAAAAATGGTTTCTGCTCTGAATGAGGTACATGCCTCTGTGAGGTGAAGTGCTGAACTTGTACAAGTTATTGCTTGTCAGGCTGATCAGGGCAGGGATCCTGTCCATGCTGAAGTGGTGCTATTTCCATTTCCATTTCCACCCGTCACACCGAACATCCTTCAGTTTTGCTGCGGTAACTAGGTAACCCTAATCCACAGACAAAATGAAAAAAGGAACCAGTGTCTGTCTGAGAAACCCGGGACACAGCTTGCTCTCATTCATCCTGACTGAACTGCAGACAGAAGCTGGAAAGGAAATGTTTACAGCAACAAAGTGGGACAGGGAAGAAGCTACAATACTTCATCTCATTTATATCTCTCACACACAAACTGTGATCTGTCACCGTTATTAATTGTTAATTATTCATTAGTTCCTCAAAAATAGTTCAAACTAGAAACAGAAACAGTTTCTAAAGATATTAGTGTGCTGGCAGTCGGAATTTGCAGTTGCAAGACTTTGAAATAGTTGAAATACTGAAAGAAGCAGCATTCAAACTATAATTAGTGAAAGAACCTGAAATGATAGTGAGGACAGGAGAGTTGAAGCAGTTTAAGTTGAAAGTGTATGTGGAAGCACTTATTAAATTAAAGTGTTAATTTAATTGCTTGTGTTGAGTGAAGCTGAGTGCTGAAAGAAGTTGAAGAGCTCAAGTTCAAGCACTGAGAGGAACTGAAATCATCAAAGTGAGATACATTTTGGCTGGAAGTTTCAGCTGAAGTGAAATCACCGTTCCACTGCCGCAGTTACACAGTAAGAGATGAAAGCAGTGGAAGTGTCAGTTGACATGTAAATTCTGATGAAAGAAGTGAAATTGTCAGCTGAAGAAACAGAGACGAAAGCAGATGAAATAAAACTGTAAATGAATCAAATGTAAACAACGAAAGCAATTTAAATGAACATGTATAATATACATCATAATAAGTAAGTCATCAAGTTATCCTCACAGCTAATTTTCCAAACAATAACCCTTGGTCAAACTTGCATTCTCATTTTCACTTAATAATCTGAACACTTTGAGCTTCAATGTATGAGTCACACTGAGTAACATATCGTCCACTAGGAAATAAATAAATAAAGTTAAGGATAATGTCACTTCCATTTGAATACAACACTGTGGGCTAAGAGATGAGGAGGGTTGTTTGTTTTTTATCATATTGTTAGTCATATCAACACCTGTTCCAGACATATATTTATATATTTTCCGGAGGAACCTTTTAGCCCCCTGCAAAACTCAAAATGCTGGATACTTAAGTTTACAGTTAACAGGATAGTCCAGATATAACTGCAGGCACCGGACCTACTCAGACCCAAAATCCCAACAATAAACAAGATAAGACACACGCACGTCATAGCCCCATAGCTAATACGGCTGTACCCCCGGCTATCTTATTTGGGTTTTTCACATCTTGAGAAGATATAATCAGACTTATTGCAAACAGGATATTATGTTTACATGCAGCAACACCAAAACGGAATACTTGAGCACCCAGAATATTAACAGGATATTGATGTGCGGAGAAACGCACTCTGTCACAGCTGATCAAATGTTCTCTATTGCAGGGTGGCACAGCTCTCTGCACTCTGCTCAGTGGTACTAACAAAACTGCACCCAAAAGTCATTTTCAGAGGCAATGAGCCTGCAGAAGACAGAACAGGCTCCAGTTTAGCTTTTACTGCATGTGACAGAAAACTCCCCAAACTTGTGAAAGCCTTTTAAACAACATTTTGACTTTGTAACATTAAAAGTCTCCTTTAAGTGAATACTTATAATAAATCATCTTAGCTGAAGTGGCAGCGGACAGGAGGTGGCTTGAGGTCACCTTAATCTTTCAAAATAAAGGCATTCTGCTAAACTGCTGTCAATGGTAGTGACAACTGAGGTTTTGTAGCGAGTAAAGCTTATCAGCAACTCTGAGCTGTGGTAAGTTTTCAAGGCATATCTGATACATAAAAGCCTCCTATGTTATCCAGATTGATTTTCTCATCACTGTTGATCCCCTTGCTGATACTGGCAGCATTGTCTGCTTCCAGTATTTGGCTCAGCTTTAAATAAATTCATCCCCCACTGAGCAAAACACTATATTTCTATGACTTGTCTGCTTGTCACAGACGGACGAAAACTGTTAGGAAAAAGAGGGGGAGAGAGGAGAAATAAAGAAAAGGAAGGAAGAGCTAAGGGAGAGGAAGAAATGGTGGAGAAAGAGAGAATGGAAGAGGAGCGGGAAGGAAATAGCGAGAGAGGGAGGAAGTATGAGAAAAGGAGTGAGGAGAGGGGTGCTTTGGGAGCTGAACATTATTTAGACTAAATGAGGTCAAGACCTTGAGCTATACTCTGAATCTCAAATGTAGTTGCTCACATTTGTGTGTGTTTACGTGCTGTAGGCTCTGTGTGTGTGCTGGCATGTGTCCATGTAGTCAATAGAATACCAACCAGGTCAATGTCATTTCCCGCACATAAGCCTTATTTGAACAATAAAGCCTCTTTATTCAGGATTTGTTACTTAAACACCTCATATCAACACATATGCTGCCATCATTGTCTGCCTGCAGTCTTCCTCTCTTACCACATTTCTCCCTCTGTCTCTCCGTTTCATCCTCTATCATCGCGGGGTAATAAGGTCACTAAAAAGCTGACCTTACATTGAACACACCTTCCTGCGTCTTTGTTCCAATCAGCTACCTCGTGCAGGTCGCCTTGGAAACAGACAGCCAATGGGAGAGCAGATCAGAGAGCAAAGGTGTTCTGCTAGTGTGGACTGCTATATCACTGTCTAAACACTGCACACACACACACACACACACACACACACACACACATTTAATGCTTTTTTTGAAACAATGTCAACAGACAAAAACACAGCACTGTAGCCCCTTTTTGATAGTTCAGTATGCAGCCATTATTGTTTTCAGGTGTGTGAATGGCTTCAAACGGAGGTGAGGCCGTGGGGGAGGGAGGGAGGGAGAACAATGTGAGGTACACCTCTGCGTTCAGCTACAAGCCCGACACAAAGCCCTGTCAGAGCGGGTGGCGGTGTGAGGTTTTCATTTTGACGATAGCAACAAATACGGAACTATCTACCTTAACATCAGACTACCAAAGCAATAGAGGGAGCTGAAAATTCAATTTCAGTGATCACAATCTCACTTATGTTAACTCTCAGCGCCATAATGGAGACACGGTTGTGACAATTTGTTATTTGTTTGTCATTGTTGTAAGGTTTGAAGATGTCTATTAAAACAGTGCCAGTGCAGCTCTGAAACCATGAAACTTTAGGCTAACCTTGTGGTTGTCATTGAAGATGCCTGACATTCAGCGTGTGTGTGTGTGTCTGTGTGTGTGTGTGTGTGTGTGTGTGTCTGTCTGTGTCTGTGTGTCTGTGTGTGTGTGTGTGTGTGTCCATTGATTCAAGTGCTCTATTTTTGAGCAAAATACCACAGCACTGTTCTGCTCCACTTACACCAACACCTGTTTCCTCTGTCTGTTCCAACAATTTGTTTAGTGTCCATGCTATCTATCTATCTATCTATCTATCTATCTATCTATCTATCTATCTGTCTATCTGTCTATCTGTCTATCTATCTGTCTGTCTGTCTGTCTGTCTGTCTGTCTTACACAAACAATAATCATTCCTTTGTTTCTGCTGCTCTCTTTGTCTCTAGTTGATGGGGTTTATCTACGCCTGCTATGTGGTCAAGCTCATTTCAGAAGAAGAGGATAGCTGTAAGTACACAGTCACACACAAACATGTACACACACACAACATTTGTCTATGTATTGTTGAACATTTGTATATATAATGTTCAACAAAGATTAATGAAACGTGTTACTAATTGTTTGCTGAATATTTGTATACAAATTGTTGAACATTTGTGTAGTAATAAGTTGAGTGAGGAGTTCAAGTTCAACTAAATTATGTGTGTGTTTAATGTGGGGAGGTGCTTAAAAATAAACAAATTGAACAGACTTCTCCAAATGAATCGTTCTCAGATCGGGGAAGACAAAAAAATATTTTTCCTATGCAAAGAAGATACAGCGGAAAATTAAGTCAGTCGTGTTTGTCTGTGTAGCATTTGAGTTGTTGGTTGTTGCTAGACCCTATAGTAGCAGTAGTTTATAAATGTTGACAGTTCATGATGTTTTTGTGTTAGTTTGGGTCCCAGGGAGGCACCAAATTTCGCTTTTGGTTCTTGAGCGGAAAAGGCAAGGAACCTACCTAAGTCTGTATTCTTCAAACAGTGTGTTTTCACATTTGACAGTACAAGAGGACAAGCTTTAATGATGAGCACTCACACTGTTTGACAAGTGTCTGTCTCAGGTAACATTGGCATATATTGGTAAAGTAGTTTTGGGTGGTTTGAGTCTACATAGCTGTTGCTTTTGAATCGAACTTGTGAAGTAAATTAAATCTGTGCCTCATATCGATGCCTTTCTCTTCATCCCTCTTTCCTCACTTGTCCTCTCGTTCACTCTCTTCATAAAGAAGCTGCATGTTTGAATGAAGCCACCTTGGACTGAGATGCCTTTACTGACCCTTAGACAGAATTTGCTTTTTGCAACCAGCAGCTCATTCATTCACAGTCGCATGGAGATTAAAACGAGAGAGAGTGTGTGAAAGATGAGGAGAGCTAGGTAGATTCATGCTAGCTCAAAGTTGTCTTTCAGTCATACATCCCTCCCACACACTTAACACTCTCAATCGCCATCACTAAGCAACAGTCATAGGAAAAATCAAAGAGTGAGGAGGGAAAAAATAACAAAAGATGGTAATTCATAATCATTTCTTTTTATTTCATCTTTTATCAAAACATCAATTCATCAATACAACCATGTTGATTGGGAAGCGCGAACATTGACTTCCATTTAGTAAGCAGTTTGACAGTCTGAATGAACTGCATTGGAAGTGTAATGCCAGTAATAGACGAGCAAAATGAAGCAAATCAACATGTTAATTCTGTGATTGTTGGATTTTGAATGCCGTGCGTGTCTGCGAGCATCAACTCAAATGAGCCCATCTACCTGGGGCCATCAGTTTAGTTATTCCATTAAAGTAGACGATGCCATTCTGCGGGAGGATCGATACCCAAGCATGTCTTATTCAACACTGAATTGAGGATGCTGTTTGCTAACACATAAATATTGATAGGTAATAAATGCAGGCTGGACCAGTGGAGATAGTTTAAAGCGCTGACGGTAGACAAGTTTTTCTGCTGCCTTTCCTGCCCAAAGCGGATTGGGGATTGAGATTGACAGGGGGAAATTATTTCCATCTGCTCTAAAACTGTGGGTCAGCACCGCGTACAAGGCTAGTTTCTGTTTCTAAAGGCTCTTTGTGTGACAAAACCTCTGCGTTCAATGAGGTCACAGATAAATATTAAATCACCCGATTGTTAGTGTTCCTATTCCACTTTTATAGAGTATAATTGAGTTTGAGGGGTTATTTTTGAAGGTTTTTTTTAACACTGTATTTTAATAAGCTTTGTGATGACAGGATCCCTAAAATGCCACTTGTTCCATATCTAAATAATTAATGTCTAACAGTTATTATTTGGCCTTTGCTTAACTGTTTTATTTTGGCCCTTGGCTCTCGATGCGGCACATTTCTGCTTGTTTTGCACCCTGAGAGAGAGTTTGTTGAAACTAACTAACAATTTCAGATGAGACAGAGCAAGAGTAAAATGCAGCTTACGACATTTACTTGTGAAATCATTCTTATCTCAACTGTTGCAATCTTAGGCTTAAAAATATAACCTTTATCAGCAAACCATCTCTCCTTCCATTGTGTAAGCAGTGTATGCTGTTGGAAGTGTTGGGGAGCTGGAGCCGAGCATGCATTGGAGCAACAGAAAACACCGGACAGGGCTATCACAGGGCTAACACATTTCAGCCCGCTATTAAAGCCTAATGAATATGTACGCAACAGCAACATGCATCATTTTCCTGTGACAAAAAGATCATTTTCTACAGAATAATTTCGGGATTCATTGTAATCTCCATGTTGTCGAGCCTTAACTCCTGAATGTGGCTGTGGAAAGCGCTGCGCGATAATGCAGTCTGGGAGACTAAACAATAATCAGGGAGCTTTGTTGGGAAATGTGCCTTGGGTGAAGAAGCTAATACTCACTGAGGACCTATGAAGATTTTGAGTTGCTGAGAAAGCTAATTACTCTGATAATTATTCTGTGCATGAGTGAGTGAGTATGTGTGTGTGTTTAAGTGTGTGTGTGTGTGTGTGTGTGTGTGTGTGTGGTTGTGTCTGTGTGTGGGAGATTAATCATTATAGTCGGTCTTATCTGTCTCACAGCTACTCGAATGTGTCAGACAGATTCTTATCAAACACATGAACACGGCCAGACAGATACACACACAAACCCTTAAACAACAGCTGCAATCTTTGTATGATCAGTCTTTAGGACACTTAATAGTCAATAGTGAACATTCACAACTGGAAAACAACCAAAAAACACAATCATTTCAAATATTATAGCATTAAAAAAAAACGGAAATCTGTTTGCTGCTGGTGTCTTGTCAATTTTTAACTGATCATACTGCAGTTTCTGGCTTCTGGAGAGAATCGCTCATGTTCCTACGCGCTCATTGGACAAACCTGGGCCTTATGAATAACATATCTGAATTTTTAAATTGGGCAGCTACAGCTTGATAGGCAGCACACTGACAAGGTTAGGGGCTCCATTTCCTCTCGTGTTCAAAGGGTCGAGAATGGCAGAAACTCTGCTGAGACTATTTGACTGCAGCATGAATCAGCAGGAAACCCTTACCATTCACACCAGGCCATTCTTCCATGAAAGGATCCACACAAAGAAGGAGTACATCAAGCACCGGCAACCGCTCAGCATTTTCTGACAGAACGACCATAACGAGCCGAATGATCATGAAATATCAGAGTATTGCAGAGGTTCGGGAAAGCTGCTGATAGACAAAGGAGATCATCTGTTGTCCCGTTGTGTGGCTGAATCAAAAATTTCACATGAATGCATTAAGAGGATTAAGGGAGAAGTGTGAAAACTCACAGCTACGGTGTGGTGACTTATAATGAATTTTTACGTAACTTAAACAGAATTAAAATAAGAAGAATCTCATGTGAGGAGAGACACCTCGACCCAAAGACTGGAATGTCTGTTAATAACTACAAAACTGTGATAAAATAACATTTTCACTTCAATATTACCAACACCAGCACTCAGTCTAATGATTCCTACTTTATAAATCAATTAAAGTTGTAGTTTTTTTTGTTTTTAAATTTGTTAAAGGTCCAGTGTGTAACATTTAGGAGGCTCTATTGGCAGAAATGGAATATAATATTGATAGGTATGTTTTCATTATTGTATAATCACCTGGATATAGGAACAGTGTTTTAGAGCCATTCTTATCCTTTCTCCTTAACACAAGTTTTGTAGCCACCGTAGTTTCTTCTACACACTTCACGGCTCGTTTTCTCTCCCAGGTCGGCAAATACGGACACGAATGTTGTTCAGTTAGTTGCAATCTGCAACTTCACCACTAGATGCCACTAAATATTAAACTATTCCTTTAAAATGAGTTACAGCATTATATTCACTATACTCTGAGATGTAAGGATATGAATACATAACAGCCCCATGCACATTCGCTCATTATGTAATTTATTAAATATTTTTTGATGGGCATACACAGACTAATCAGTGAAATCAGTGTTGTTTGTTGGAAATCTATTTGCCTGACTGTGTTTGGTGCTGGCTTTCACGTGATGTTTGGACTTATATCCTTGCTTATTGCGGGCTCAAGGTATACTTATAGCTTCTTTCATCTCTGCAGTGACAGCCAAATTCCACATTGTACTTGATGTTGCGAAATCATACTGAATAAATAAGAAAGTATGCTGCTGATCAAGGCAAGGAAGTACCCTTTTATGAGCTCTACAACATCAAAGTAAAAAAATATCATGGCTTCCTCCCTTCAAAAGTCCAGGCTCTCTGCCTCAGTCTGAGGAAAGCAACCACCTGCTGGCAGCTCCTCAGCCTGGGAATCTGTGGAGATATCCTAGATAATTTAGAAGTTAAGAGTACACTAAAGGCATAAATATATTGCTGCATAAGTCTTAGTCTTCATCCTAAAAATAGAATTAGATTTGCATCACAGAATTTTTATACAACCTGATTAGCTCTAAGAACAGCAGCAATAGAGGTGGTGGTTCTGGTACAAAATGTACTGTTTAGACCTCTGTAGGTGTAGGAGGCCTCATGCAATGAATCATCTGTGGTGGGAGGTTCCCAGTTTATAATCACAATGGCATACCCTTTCTCTAATTGAGGTTGTTTTTGTGCAGTTGATTTTATAGGAGGGTTTGACTCGTACGGTTACCAGGGGCCTCAGAAGACCTCCCACCTTCAACTACAGCCCATGTACATGTAAGTAAAGTTATACTCTGTCTTTTGGTCTACATATCTATCTACAAATGCCTTTTTTATCACATGCCCGCAACAGTCCTAAATATTAGGATAAACCAGCATATATTGTGCTAAATGGTGTTTTCGTTTGCCTTAAATCTGCTTGAAACAGCTAGGAAAGACAGTCTATATCCTCAGGCCAACCCTATCACCAACAGCATACCGTGTTTAGGGAATCATTTTCATCTGTGTTAGATATCTTGAGTTCTGCAGCGAGGATGATATAAGCACATTCTCGCTGTATCAGCATAAGGGCTTATCATTTATCAGCCCAAGGTCTCATCAGTTGTCACTGTTGTAGGGCTTTCATCACTCCCCTCACACGTGACAAATAAAGGTGGGGTGTGCGATGAAAGCCGCTGTATCCTTAATAACATTCTTGCCGAAGCTGTGTTTCATAATTAGATATTTTACCCACATGTGACTGAAAAGAGCATCCTCTTGAGAAATATTTTTGTGTTATGAAATAGCTTTTGTTGTGTCAGAAGCTTTTATTTCATATCTCTGCAGGCTGGATTCTAGTTTATATGCTGATTTCCTGAGACTGAAACCATAGATTCCAGTTTCATGGAGACCATCAGCTATTCTTAGGCTGGAGGACCAATAGGATAACACAAAATGAGTCTGAGTCCAGGCTTAGACAGCGCTGCATCAATCTCACCATCTCACTTTGTCCTGTGGAAAGCGCCAAAGCAATACAGCAGAAGCTACACCACAGTAACAAACAACAATACGCAATAATGGTGATTCCACTGATGTGCGGCAGACAGGTGATCAATAACTCCCTTTATTAGAGAACAGAGCTGGAGCGACTTCGAGAGAGATACAGATGGACAGAGAGAGAGATGGAGAAATAGAAATTGAGATCAAGATGGGCAAGAGACTAGTAGATAGAGAGAGAAAGAGAGAGAGAGAGAGAGGAAGAGAAAGAATTCCCCTCTCTTTCTCTTCCCAAAAGAAACACAGTGATGGATGAAACGAAGGACTAAACAAAGAAGAAAGGCAATAAAGGGCCATTCTGTAGTTTTATATGTCCCCTGTGGAAGTCATAACACAGATCATAAATCATCGACCCCCAAGATAATGGCCGCAAACACAAACACACACTCTCACAAAAGAGTCGGAGCATGAATACACATATCTATACACACACAGATGCAGGTTCTTAGACATAGAAGAGCACACACACTCAAACACTGCACACTGTAGACACAAACACCTAGACGGTAAAGCTGCTGATAGACATCTTGTGCTTGTACATTAATGTACACACACATGTAGACACACACACACACACACACACACACACACACACACACACAACACACACACACAAATATGCACACACACTTGCTTAAACATCATCAATATGCTATCATTGTTCCCCAGCTGTTGTCCTTTCACTTTGGTGTTTATTGGCTCTGGCCAGAGGGACCAATAAAAAAGCATCAGCTGTACTGTCCCAATGGAAATCTCTCCCCCTACCTCGCAGGACACACACTCAACCACCCACACAGACACACACAAAAATAACAACAACAATTACCGCCTCCAGAATTTTGTAGAAATTTCTTTGTACAGAAAAGAAAGAAAAACCCTCCAACCACTCGTTGTTGACCTCCAAAAGCACGTCTTTCTCCATGTGCATTCAAATGAGAGTTTAGCATAATCCCAAACGCATCAACCTAAAAATAAAAACATAACACACAGACAAAATATCAGGTTCTGATGTTTTATACCTGCATGTGTTGTTAAACCTCACAATTGCGTTCTTGGATGCACTTGACTGGTTTTGTTCAGAGCTCAAAACTAATGATATACTATCTTTAGCATTTGGCTAAAATGCCAAGCTATTGTACTGTCAGCACAGCACTGTCATTTACACTAAAAGTTAGTAACCAAACATTATTTCTTTCTTGCTTTTAGTGTTTTGTTTTGTTTCTTTTGGGGTTTTTTTTTGTTATTGTTTTTAATATTTTGGGCTAGTATTAGAGCCAATATACCCATTGGTTAAGTGTTAAGCAGTCTGTTGAGTATTATCATCTTTTATAAATACACACGACAAGTGCCTCTGGTGTCCTCATCAAGCAACATTATGTGAATCATTTTATCAAGGACGATACTGAGCAAATGCACCGCTAAGCATTTCACCATAAACCTCTTAATCTTTACTGTTCTCAGTTAATGCCTCAAATTTCTCAAGTAGCTTTAAAGTTACATAAAACATTTAGTTTCACAGTGTACTGTAAGTTCTTTATGTGTTTTTTCTGAGGCAATACTGCTACACAACATGCCTTCTATTCATGACTTAGCAGTGGCAGTTTGAGAGGTTCACATAAACATTTACTTTTAAATCTTTACTAAAGCAATAAAAGGGATTGAGTCGCTGTTTTGTATAACCCTCTTCTCTCCTCTCTTTTCTCCATACAGGTCAAAGTAAACCCAGGAATGCTGCCTTACCAATCACCATTGCTTAATATCCTGCTTTTACTACTCCAACTGTCTTTTATTAAACAGCAACCAAGACACAGACAAGATACAGAGGACACTAAGATATTCTGTGTTTCAACCTACAAATCCCCCCCCAGTACTTGGTCAGATTGTTTCCCCGGTCTGCCTGTATGTTGTATTTAATGATGAAACACTGGTCTCGTGTGGTAGAACACTGTAACTGCAGGACATTTGTGCCACACCATTACAAGTAGATTCTGGTAACAGCTGCATTTCTTTGTCTCTGAGGGACGCAACCGGGAGCCAATGACTTGCATCCTCTTGTGCTGTTGGGTATCCGCATTGTGAAAGAAACCAAAGAGGCCACGACTCATTGGTGAACTACTGGCGCATTTCTTCAGGCTTCCAGGGAGAACTTGTGAAGTTCTGCTATCAGAGATGTTTAATATGGAGCCCTGTTTCTTCAAGCTACTGTAGAAATCAGGTGCCGTCTCAAGTGTCATGGTATCTAAAAGCTCTCAAGTGCAGATATGCCTGACCAAAGAGTTAAAAAAAAACCCAGAGACACATTCTCATGTACACAAAAGAGCCCATTTAACCGTCACTGGAACTTTTTGCTTTTTGTGCCTAACAGATTAGACACCGGACTTCCAACCAAGTATCTACTAACAAGACTACCGATGTAGGAATGTCATACATCTTCTTTTTAGATTACTTTTTGGTGCATTTAGGTTCTTGTTGCAAAAAGCGACAAAGCAAAGATGGAAGTCAGGGGCTGGACTCAAGCATGAGTACAAGCTACACAATTTATTCTGTTGTTTCATCAAATACGTTGAATGTTAAATAACAGTGTGATGTGTAGATTTGCATATACTTTCATTTCACATGTGCATGTGTACAGGAAACAGACACATTCACACACAGGCATTATGTAATGCATATCTGAATTCACACACACACACACACATACACACACACACATTACAGATGTAATACCATTTAACTTTTTTACTACTAATGTGAATCTTAATGTTTACAATAGAAATTCAGTCTGCCGGACAGAATGGCCGAACACCTGACAGACAGATGCAACAGGTAGATTGACAGGAGACCCTTTAGCTGCAGCATCTCAACTGCTGTGGGATGTTTTCTGCCATATTAATATAGATGGGATAGTTTTTCCGGATGTGTCTTTTGGTCTCCTCCTGTCTAAATATTTTGTCTTCCATCCAAGACAGACCAGTAGAGGTAGATAGAGACAGAGCATGACAAAGACTACCACTGAAGAGGGATGGAGGTCAGTCAACAGTTTCCCTTCCACCTCAGTCCTTTTGTAGCTCTCAAAGCCAAGCTTCTGTTGTCACTCGCCCGTCCCATTCAGCAGGAAGGTTGTTTCCCTTTTTCTTAATTATAAATAAAAAAGCTGGAAGCCAGATCAGACCAAACTGCAGCATCCAACTCTTCCCAATAGATCAAGAGCAGCCAAAATCTTCCACAGGGGACGCTCACGTAAAGAGAAAAGATATACCCTTTACAGAAATGACAATCACAGTCAGAGTGGCCTGAATCACATCATTATTGATTGTTTTAATTGGTATATTGCATTCCTAAACCGCTCGTGGATGACAACTATTGGTGAAAGAAAGGGATATGAAAAGACAGAGGCTGAATCTTCGATGACACTGTACATGTTCGCCCTCACCTGCAGGCTAACAAGGATAAACATTATACGAGAGAGATGCCAGAGACAGAGCAGCCTCCACTCCCACCCCCACCCCTTCACCTCAATACTCGAATTTTAATGTTGAAAGTGCCAACAATATCACCACATGGATATCTGTAGAGCCTGGTTTCTGAAAGCCACAGACTGGGACCAAAAATAATGGGTCTCAGGTCCACTTGTCTTTGGTTCACGTGTAGGAAAAAATAGCATAGTATATTACAAATTAAAAAAAAACTAACATCTGCATCCCAGGCGGCCGGCAGGTTTTCTCTTTTATTCTGCTTAGAAAAATCAACCGATTCCTTCTGGAAATGTGACTAAACATGTTGCATTTGTGTTGCAATCACTGGACCAAATGTTTGAGGCCTTCTCTGTCGACCAAGGAACATTTCTAGGTGCAAACACTGGCTTCTCTTGACATAAGGATGGACTAACAGACTATTCCCTCACTAAAAACTGATCTCAAAGTCCACCTTCCTCCCCCCATCTGCCAGTTATCTTCAGCAGTTCATGTTTTGTAACAAAACTCTGTGGGTTACGTTCAGAGTCGCTGCCCCGTGAGGCTCCACTGACAGTCACTCTGGAGGACAGAAACAACATTTTGTGTGTTTGCATGAGTTGTTTCCAAACTGTTGCGTATTTAATCTCATGCTGCGTGTGACTAACTAGCTACTTAAAATGGGAACTGTTTGGTTTGTTGAATGCTCCTCAACTCTCTTCAAAGAGTCCTAAATGTGAACTTTGTGATTTTTCTATAAATAACACAGTCTGAAATGTCTACAGAGTAAAGGAGAAAAATAGCTACTACAATGTAAAACGATGAAATGTAACTTTGAACTTCTAGACGTTTTTTAATCACATGTGGCCGTGTTTACTGTTTTTTCTAGTTGACTACTAATGTATGATGTTGTGTACAAGTGGGACTACTATGTTTTATTTCTTCTAATTGTACAGCATATTTGAAATGAGAGAATAAGAGGAGAATGGGAGGAATAGTTGCACTATAATCTGTAATCCTTTCATTAAGCATTCTGTCAGGGCTGAAATTTCACTTTCACTTCAGCACATAATTAACGTTACAGTATTCATTTATGTTTGAATTATCAACCAACACCACGCATTCCTTTTTAATAAATAAAATGACTGCTGATAAAGTGCACAGCTAATACTGTGAAAAGGGTCACGTAATCCATTATTTAGAAGCTTAATTGAAAAAGATAGTTGGTCATGCCATTAGCTAATTACACTATTTGAACTGAAAGTGAATATATTTATCTTTAATGGAGTTGATCAGTTCAATAATACCTGATGAACCTAACCACCAATCCGGCAGATATAACAACAGACTGAAGCAATTATTCACTAAATCAGAAAGGATTTCAGATATATAATGTGACTCAAGTGTGTGTGTGTGTGTGTGTGTGTGTGTGTGTGTGTGTGTGTGTGTGTGTGTGTGTGCACGCACGTGTGTGTTAGACTTTGTACTGCAGTACATTGTACTTTTCTGCGTCATGGTGAACTGAACGACACTTAACCCAGAATCTGCAAAGCCACAACTTCAACACAAACTAAACTGGTGGAAATTGAAGAACTCGTCAGAGATTTTTAACAAACAGCAATAACAACAGTAATAATGTATTTTAAAGTAATAATAAAAACATAATCTACATAGTTCTTGATTTATCTTAACAGTCGCCTGATCACATTTTGACTTTGGAACAGTCAATAGAGCCTTTGTCTGTAGATCATCTGTACAGAGAGAGTTAAACATGTATAGATGCCAAGACATTCATTTTGTTGAATGGTGTCAATAAACATTGAGTCAAACCATTGTCTCTTAATCTGTCTTAAAATACAACTACTCATTTCTGAGTTTTACAGTTGTGATAAGACTGTACAGTCATAGTTATTACTATAATATGGTGCTCAGTAAATGTAATAATAGTGAAAGACATATACCCTGTGTTTGGCCAAATTGTCACTAAATGCAAAAGAAATGTTGCATTTGATGAGCAAAAGGCTTGAAAACTTGATTTAAAATTGTAATTGTTTCTCTACAATTTTAAATATGTATGACTAAGTAACAATCAGTTAAAGTTATATTTATTTCTCGACAGTGGCCTGAAAATATAAGCAAACAACCCAATTTTCATTACATTTTGATTCAAATATTGCTACATCCTGACATGACATCGCTTCTTGCCATCTGAGCCAAATCCATTCAACACAGTAAGAGCAACACAGACAGAAATATCTGAATTGGAATAACTATAATAATGTGCTTGTACAATTAGTTTAATAAAGAAACAGATTGCTAAAGGACAAAAATTACTATGTCGATAATTATATTACACAATGAAGGAACATCATGCAAAAGAAAACGGAGGGACCCAGGATAGAACCCTGGGGTACTCCACAGCTCAGCTCTGTGTTTATTTGTACTGTTAGCAGAAAACAACTGCTTACTTAAGAAAATAAACAAAACTATCATTAGTTCCTACAAAATGTCCAATGCTCTAAACTTTATTTCCTTTAAATTAACCTTATATTAAATGTTCAATTACAATAAATTAATGTGAATTGGGCCGTCGCAGCAGAGACTGTTATGTTAGAGGAGTATTTAGAGAATGTAGTAACACATAATACATTACTCACTGTCAGTACGCAGGAACATACTGCCGGTGAAAACAGTAATGTCCAAACTCTCTCTGTGGCTCTGGGTTAATTTGTTAATGTTCACCACTGACTAGGACCATCTATGTTGTTTTAACTCCTTCTCTTTTCATGATGGTTTTCCCACAGGTGATCGACTGTACATAAACTAGACAGTTGGGAATAAAGTAGACAGTGGAGAAGGAAAGTCTATCTTGTGTCCTCTGTTCTCTGACACCTATTTTCTGTGACCTCAAATTATTTACATTTGCTACATTATGCATGTGAATGACTAAGTATTCTCAGAGTTATTTTTTTTTTTGGGGGGGGGTGTCTCATTCTTGTCTGGCCAAGAGAAAATCCAGCTAAACCTAACTGAAATAGTATTCTAAAAGACAGCTGAGGGCAACAGTCAAAAACCCCTATCACTTTCTCTTTCACTTCATTTCACACATCCTGACCAGTCATAAAGTACATCCGTAGCTCCTTAACTTGTGCACACACAGACACAGAGAGTCATTTCCAGGACACACTACTGTTCCTTTGCCGAGAAAATATACCGGTAATCAGCAAGAAGAGTAGAGTGGGTGGCATTCTTACATACTCATCTAGCGCTCAAAGGTAAATTCAGTGTTTAAATCCCTGAGAAGAATGGTGTTAAAGTAAAACAACATCCACCCAATTAAGACTAAACACCTCTTGAGTGAGAATGAAAAGCCCAATTTATGCAGATGCATTAGACTGAGTTTAAGATGGAGTAAATGCTCAAGGTTGGAAGTACTTAAAATATTTATTTGTAGCCTGCAGAGCGTCCCCGCTTTTTGACCTGTTTAATGGAACAGCACACTCCAGAAAGTGTCTGATGGGTTTTCTGGCTTTATGTAATAAAGCTGACACTCGCACTTGTAAAGGCTTTTTAACATTGTTGGCATTCTCCACTAAAACCAATTGGGCACAGCCAGGACAAGCAAACTAATTACTGCGTGGCTTACGCCCCATGGCATTAATGAGGAATTGTAACAGAGCTAACAACCCATTTTACAGGCGCCCTAGTTAGGTTTATTTGAAAGTTGTGCCAACAGCTTTTGACTAAAAATGTGTCCGTCCAAATTAATTTAATTCTTACGTGTTCAAGTGTCACGTTCCCTGTTGAAATGAATTCTGTTTAAAGGTGGAGTTTTATGAGGGTGAGAATTGTGAATATGTGATGCAATGCAAAGTAATGGGTCTACAGCCATTCAAAAGCTGCATGTAGCCTGGAACTAGCCTGATATTACTACGGTACTACTACCACATGTAACAATATAATAGTGATAATGATAATAACAGCAATATTATTTCTTAAATTACACGTTTATAGTCGATTAACTGATGGATTCAGTGTCTTGCTCAGGGTCGGTGATGGGGCAGATGGGCACACATGGCCGATGTATACCACTATACAGGATGTACCTAACAAGGGTGGTTTTGTTTACCCACAATCAGCTCGACTGCGACTGGATCATACAACACCAAAGCTGAAGTTCAAGTCCAATTTACACAATCCAACTCAAGATCCACTTACTAGCTTTCTCTAGGACTTTCAACCACATCTCATGGTCCTAATCAGCCATTAGAGTTTGGTGGGTTGTCACAGAGATGTCACAACTGTCATTACATGACCTAATATGAACTGAGCCATCTCCATGACGACTGTGCAAACTCCACCCACTGATGAGATGTGGTTGAAAGCGCCTGGCAAAATTAGTCAGCGGACTTTGACTTAAGACTTTTTTTCCAATTTTGTCAAATTTTCAAATTTTACTTTTAACCTGCAAAATAAGATGTAAAGGTTCCCGATGCTTTCAGTTTCACTACTCTGTCCTTGCTACATTATATTTGTCCAAAGGGATAGAAACTAAGTAATTAAACCAAACGTGCATTGTATCATGACCTACTTCTGTCCTTCTTAATATTCGAATACAGCTGGACCGAATATCGAAAAAGATCTGCTGTTCAGTGGGAGCTCCGAACTGCAGACAGATAGACTACCACTGTAATATGCAGCCTTGGACACATCTCATCCATGATAACAGATGATGTGAAGCATTAAGACCATTATTATGTCTTTTAACGCATGAGACCATAGCAACCACCACAGCAGAAATGAGCTGTGGGGCCACTATCACAATCACTACTAATCCTTTACACTTTGTTGTTCAACGTGTGTTATACTTCCTGGTCCAAGGTCTACTGTGGGATCATTTAATTAACACATTAAAGTAGGGATATGCAACATATTTACACATTAAACCGGTCTTGAAAATGTATTTTAACACACACACACACACACACACACTTCTTCTCAAGACAAGGCCCTTCAGACCTTCCTCACAGCAGATTTTTGACATGAAATTTTAGGGTAAACATGTGTTTTCCCAATAGGTTAAACTCAGGTCAAACAGTGGGGTTGGCCATTGACAGTATATATGATTTTGGCTCTGCTACACTAAATGGAACAGGACCTTTATTAAGCATTGCTAACACCCGTGTTTACCCTATTTCATGTCAAAATGGCTGCTGTGAAACAGGTCTGTAATGCCAAACAAATTGGCAGGGCCCTGCAGGGGGGAACCCCGTACTAAGTGCACACTTTGCCCGTTTGGTACCCCAGCTCTTGGCCACCAAAGTTGCCCCACTCATACTGACACTGTGATATTTCACCTGTGCTCGCGCCAGGGCTGCACTCCGCCACTAGGCTTCCCATCGGCCTATCACTGCGCTCCTAGACGCTGACGACGAGACCCGGAAGCACCGAGCTGCCTGCTTTGTTTTGTTTTGGTAGTAGGAGTTGGATAAGAGGTGGACAGGCAGAGGTCCGTGCGGGAGAGAACCGCTCACTAAATGGGGAGAGCCGCATCGGGGATGGAAGATGACGGACCGATAGCTGACGCCTGTACAATGCCGACTTTTATCAGCAGTTACGACGACGGGAAGGTGAAATTGTCCCGCAACCTGCCGACAGAAACTTCCTTCACGGACAGCAAAGTTGAGCGGTCGGTCAGAGATTTGAGCCGCCGTGTCACCCGATCCAACTCCCGGTCATCCCTGGACGGAGGTGAGAGGGAGCCGGAGGAGAGGAGCAGCGAGGAGGAGAAGGATGCGAAGGGCAACAACAACAACAACTGCAACGGCGGCGGCGGAGGAGGAGGAGGAGGTGGAGGAGGAGAGAGGAGGAGGGCGAGTGCTGTTGAGATTTTGAGGAGGAATTTCGGGGTCTCAAAATCTCCCTCTCTTCGTCTAAATACAAACAGTCGGATGCAGTGCGGCGCCGAGCATGAACCCCGCGAAGGAACCGTTAATAGCGACGTTACAAACGGTTATGGGAGTGAATGTGGCGACTGCTCAAAGTCGGACCGTGAAACGGGCGACGCGGGGAGCGAAAACGAGCCGACCTTGAGCGACTTGACGACTTCGGACGTACAAGGAGTTGAATCTGTAACCATTACAGGTCAGTGCCGCCACACAGGTGACACTTTAAACGAGTCCTTTAACACTAAAGAACACGTCTACTGCACGGTGTACTGCATCGCTAACGACAGTCACCGGAAAGACGTTGAAATCACTGACGATGAAACGGTCACGTCTGACGCGCCAAACATGGAATTGGAGACAGGACGGGAGGCGGGTTCGAGTCCCGAACCGGCACCGTACACACTGGAGGACCTGGTGGATCCTTTCGGGGATATGGTGGCCCACCGGCTGTCCATTACACAGGCCGGTGCAGAGACAACGATGCAGAGTTGCCGGGTGTGCCTGGAAGGGAAATCCATCGCACCCCTGCCCTGCTGCAGGAAGGCCGTGTGTGATGAGTGTCTGAAACTCTACGTCAGCTCCCAGGTTGGTAGGAGGGGAGGGAGGGGAGGTTGTACAGTGCAGCAGGGTTGAGCCTGTCCCAGAACCAGGCCCTGCTGGGTTAGTCAGCAGCTGGTACTTGTCCTTGAGCAGCAGCCGCACACACAATCCTCTCTATCACACTTCCCTAATGTGTTATGTTTTTCTACCCCAAGGCAGGGGCATGGCTGGGAATTCTGGGAACCTTTTAAATAAAAATAAAAAACCCTGCAGGAGCTGGCACTGGGCAATCTTGACGCCACGTGTTTTGATCAAGGCTCTAAATTCATAAGAACAAAGTTTCATGAGCTAAAATGTCAGAGGCCAGTATCTGCAGGTCTCCGCATCTTGTGATAACAACAGTTTTCCTGTGCATCTGGGGCACTGACACATTCTGCGCAAAAATTGGGATCCGAGCAGGGATGGTTTTCACAAAAGCTTACTTTGTGCGCTGTTGGGTTTATCCAGCAGATTATTTCCTTCTCCCGGGGCTCACCTATTTAAGGGAGATTTCACCCCCAGATACGCTACATGTATTCTGTTGTGCATTATTAATCCAGTTACAATCCAACAAAGCACAAGCACATCCACTCGGCTCATTGTGTTTCACTTCCCAAAAAGCCTTGTGCTCATGCCAGAAAATATGTCAGAGCATCCCGGCAGTGTGTTTTAGGTGCACACGGTGAGAGCAGCACATCAGCAAAGTAATTTTAAAGTAAGTCAGCCAAAATAGGTCACAATAAGGACACAACATATCTTGTGGCTGAAAAGCATTCTGGGCTGATTTACTGGGGAGTTCATTGAGAGCTCCTGATCATCGATTCTGGTGGCGATTTTCACTGATAAATGAAGGAAATGAATAATAGATGGTTGAAACATTTACTTCCATTAATTCGGTGTAGCGGCCATGAAAATAGGGAGTCATCATTGAAAGGCAGATGGGCAGTCGGATCCTCTCTAACAGACCTAAAGTGTCTCAGGATGGATTTGTTTTTGTTATGAACTGGTGCCAGAGCAGTTACGATCTTCGCTCCTTGCTACCGTTAACATAATCTTCTTTTCTCTCTTCAGATAAAACAGTTTTTATCAGGCATGCAGACTACTTTTTAATCTGCAATCATCTTGCTTTGATAACAAGGCATGAATAATCATACAACACAGAGATAAGCAGACTCTGTGATCAGCACGCTCAGAACGCGATAAGGGTCATGTAAACTATCCTGTGTAGGTGGAATTTATTTCCATTAATGTACTGCAAACTTGTTTTAGCACACATGCTTGGTGTTAACCCTCAGATAGAGCAAGCTTTATTTCAAATAGATCAGAGTATGTGGTCCTAGAGGGGACGCAGCAGGAGACTGTTTGATGCTAACCATGTTGTTGTGCCAGGCATTAAACCAGCCGCTTGTCATTTACCAGCCCCCTCAAATAAGGCAACAATTCTAATTAAGGATATAGTGCTTATCAGTTTAGCTTGTTTGATTACAATCTGTGTGTTAAGATGTGTTTAGAGTCACTGGGAAAAAAGAGCTTCTTTACGTAGCCTTACAGTCATCTCAAGCAGCCCTTCCTTAACTCCACCCGTCATAATCCAAATATGGTCTTATGAATTGTAAATGGATGTTATTTAACAGCATTAATTATATAAAAGTGGATATTGTTACAATCCATTTTTCATACAGCTGAAATGTCACACTGTGTGCATTTGTACTGCCTCCACCCGGCGTGGCAGAGGCTGGATGTTTCAACCATTCATCCATTACTTTAGCTAACTATTTCAACTGTTTGTGCTACCAATTTAACTGCCCCTCTACAAGATAACAATTCCAACCATTTATCCATTACCTTAAGCTAATAGTAGCTGGAAAGCACTGCTTTAAGAGTTACAACACCACACTTTGCACAAACCTTAGACATGCCAAAGTATATTGTCATCGCACACTGACACTAAGTAGTACTAGTTGCAGTTCTGACTGAGCCCGCGGCCATCCCTGTCCTGTGGCGGCCACATGCCCGCTGTAAGCTCATCTGTTTTACTGTTTTTATCATGCACAGTATATGGATTTATGTCGGCTTATGTTTCATCTTATGACAATGAAACTGCAGAACAAAGTCTCCCCACATTTTAAACACACCACGCACAATGAAGTGTCTGTGAGAGACAAACAGTGGCAGCAGTTCCAACCTGTCCAACCAGTCTGGCAGTGGTCATCACAGCTTTAGTGTTGTGGCAACAATGCTAACACATCAACCTTCTTGCCTGCAGAAGATACATTTTCATAATCATGTAATAGGCTTTTATTCTGTGTGTTTGTGTGTGCACGTGCTGTAGGGGATGTATGGTGTGACACCATCGCAGGATGATGCTATTGTTCTTTGCTTTCTGTCTGCTGTCATTTCACACACTCCCTAGCAGACACTCACACACACTCACACACACACTGACAAAATGCCTTATCATGTGTCAGTACAGCAGGTCTTGCTGGCTTTGATGGTCTGAAAGCAGAGGCAGAAAGAGAGAGAGTGAGACAGAAAGAACATTTCAAATGAGGAAGAGAAAGAGAGAAGGAACTAGAGAAGAACAGATGCCCTGGGAGGAAATAAAAACAAAGAAGAGAGGTAGATAGTGAAAAGGAAAAAAGAGAATAAAAGTTTACCTTAACGATGGAACTCAGCGTCTCTGTAAGCTTCTCTATGACACTGACTGTACTCTGGGTCAGATGAGATGAGATCTGAACACACATTTGTATTGTTTTGGTTTTTATTGAACCCAGGTGTGAAAATGTGTTTTTTTTTCTCACAAAGTGGAGTAAGAATGTGAAATAGTGCCCCCCAAAGTGAGAGCATCTCTTCTTTAGTAATAAAATGTCAGGCCCTGAAGACAGCGAATCCTACACGGTCCACTCAGTATGACTGACCGCAGAGAACTGGACTAACTAATGGCAGTCTGTGTGTGCTTTGATACATATTAACTTCCACTCTCTCCACTGCCTCCTTCAGCCTTGCTTTCATCTACCATTTACTCCCTGTACTTTTGAGTAAATTATTAACCATTTCCCAGCAGTGGTGTGAATATGTTCCACATTTAGATTTGGTACTGATAGACCACCACAATAACAAAGAAACCCACCGTAGACAGATCTAAAGTGTGCACACAATGTGGGGCAGGTGATGCATTAGTTATCATGCTTTTTTCATGTCCCTCGTGGTGTTAACAGTTGAGTACATTTTATTGTAATGAAAATCAGATTTTCCTGCAGTGATAAGTAGCCATGACATGAATATAAAACTTGAATGTCACGATAACCCTGGCCAAAATAATTGCAATTTGAGACGATAATCATCAAAATATACTTAAAATGACTCTAACACATACTGGAGTCACTTTACCTAACCTACATTTAATTAAGAAACAAATGTTTTTATTGCATCACCAATGGGACACTCATCTCCCCATCGTTCTTTAGTTAAGAAGTATTTCCACACATCCGGTTGAGCCGTCATCTATGGTGACAGACTTTTGGAATGACTGGAAAGATGCAAGTGACAATTAGAAAATAAACCAGGAAATCAATATAGGACTGTTTATCAGCGAGCTAGACAGCTTTTTCAAGTCAAGCCATGAGAGGATATTCACGATTATCCCGATTATCTGATTTCGGCCCATCCCTCGTAATAAGTGATGTTTTTGTCTGTGGTGTTTCCCAGGTGAGAGTGGCCAAATCTTACATCAGCTGTCCGATCCCAGAGTGCAGTGGCTACCTGGAGGAGGGGGTGGTCATTTCCCATTTAGCCAATGAAGATGTGGCAAAATACCGTTACTTTTTGGAGCTGAGTCAGCTGGACTCGAGCACCAAACCCTGCCCCCAGTGCAGTCAGTTCACCTCTCTGAAGGAGCACAACCCCAACCGCTCCGAGCAGAAATACAAGGTAAGATGACAACAAAAGGAACATAAGGAAAGTGCTCTGCTGCGATATTCAGTGAAGTGCATGAATGAAATCTAATTCCACATACTGAGACATACTTGTAAAAGTAACATAAGCATGTGTCTGCTGTCCTCTGCCCCTACTGTAGATCCAGTGTAGCAATTGCCAGTTTGTGTGGTGCTTTAAATGCCACGCTCCCTGGCATAATGGGCTCAAATGTCGCGACTACAGGAGAGGAGACAAGCTGCTACGAACCTGGGCTAGTGTCATAGAGCACGGACAAAGAAATGCACAGAAATGCCCACAGTGCAAGGTAAGGACCGGGGATGGTGGAGGACACAAGCTATTATGGTGCTGTGTTTTTGCTGTAGATTAGAACAACATGGGCAGAGCAATGCATGAACGTGGGTGTGTGTCAGCGTAAATGGAAAGGTGGTTGACTGATGGAAGGTGGAATCTGTGTAGATGAAAAGATCGATGAAGGTTAAAAAGCATGAGAGCAAGGACGGATGATGGATGTAGAGCTGTAGAGAACTGGATGGAGGCACAGCTTTAAAGTGCACGTGGAACAGCAGAACAGAGATGCAGAGACAGCGAACATATTGGAAGAAATAATGATGTCTGCTGCACAAAACCACATTTGGAAGACTCATTTCACAGTCATAAAACGAGCCTGGTCTAAGTTAGTCTACACAATATCTAATTTGACTGTCAGAAGATGACTAAAGCAAGACAGAGATTAAGCTAATTACTAGTTTATGGGAGCTGTTTGCTCACAGCAGCAAACACTTTCCATCTGTGCTCATCACACTGATGCGCCACGACTCTGAATTTCTGCTCTGGAAGCAGAAGAGAGGATCCTGTTTGACTGTGAAGCCAACAAATTGGTGTCATGCTGTGTTTAGCTGGAAAAGAGGCTGAGAGCAGCTGAACTTAATGCCCAGTTTATAGTAAGACTGCTCACTGCTACAGCAGCCAAAAAGCAAAGATCTGTTAAGTGTTCTTCTGCATGCATATTGCAGTGCACTTCAATAGATGCTGCTCATAGTTTTCTGTTTGAAAATAAGAGTAAACTGTTTTAGTGTTGTGTTTATTGCTTCTAAGACTGGGGAGTTGTACCCATTTCACAATAAACTGAGCTGAAAAGACTCATTATAGTATTATCTTGAGTCTGGAAGGAGAACATAATGAGGCATTAAAATTGTGTCCCAAGCTAAAAGAATCAACAACATTTGTAATAAAGCATGTAACATTTTATCAGAATAATAATGTATAGTCTGTAGCTGAAAGCAAACTTCATCTTGCTTTTGCCTCTTGTTTCTACTTCTGTCCGTCTGTAGATCCATATCCAGCGTACAGAGGGATGTGACCATATGACTTGTACGCAGTGTAACACTAACTTCTGTTACCGCTGTGGAGAACGTTACCGACACCTACGGTTAGAACCTTTTACTTTCTCCTCTCTGACTGCTTTTTCCACCTCTTTCTGCGTGATGATCTGATTTCATCTTAAACTTCCTGTTGTCAGGTTCTTTGGGGACCATACATCCAACCTCAGCGTGTTTGGATGCAAGTATCGCTATCTACCAGATAAACCTCATCTGAGACGGCTAATTAGAGGGTCGGTCTGTGGTAAGTTGCTGTGTGCCCATTTTGGTCCAGACTGAAATAGCTCAACAATGGATGGGTTCCTGTAAAATGTATTCATGCTGCCCAGAGGATGAATCCATCTGACTTTAATGATCCTATGAGTTTCCTCTTGCACCACTATCAGGTCAAAATGACTTAAAATACAAATTCCTGCAAAGCTAATGACATTTCCATCAATGTCAGCTGTACTTTGTGTTTATTTCTAATTAGAAAATGTTAGCATGCTCCAACGCTAACTAAGATGGTGAATGTGGTAAACATTATACCTACTAAACATTGTAGCATGCAGGGGGCAGCTTCATACATGGGCTGCAAAAGAAGAATGGAGAAATGAGCCAACTTCTCACTTGGTTTATTCGCTCAGTAAATAGTTTTCTAATAAGTTTATGGTATCAATCACTCATTTGAAGTCTTCTTCCATACAGCATGATGTTCATTTAGTAAATTATGGTCACATTTAGAGTAACATAGACGATAAAGCAGGGTATGGTTTAGGCCGTGGCTACCTTGTGACCAGTCACTAAGTGAGTCTGTCCAGCTCAACGTGCAAAACTCAGATCAAACTGTCAAACTAGGCAGTGCTGATCAAAAACGAAGCAAGATTCTGTTACTGCGTTGCCTATTTGTCACCTAAAATCATTTCAGAAACATATTTTAGCGTAGGTAAGAGTTGAAACTAAGCGCAGCCAATGAGAACAGCTCACCTAGCAGTACGTGACCTTCGCTGGCCCAGAAAAAAACAACATGGTGATGCCACAGTGCTGAACACGAGGCTTCAGAACAGTACTCCACGAACCAGTGGGTGACTCCACCATAGGTTCACATTTGGTTTTACATTAACGCAGCTGCATATTCAGACTTTGAAGCTACCCAGTATAACAGCCACTGTGCCTTCAGTTAGTAGGCACTGATTTACCAATGCTTTATTCGGCATAAACTATTTCTGGTGTACCCGCATTTCCTCAGCCAGCTTTATTTTGTGTTATTCTGCTTTAGTAAGTGAGTTCCTATGTTGCTCAGAATGCCTGTGACCCAAAATAAATCAGCGCTCCCACGTTGCACTCAGCTGTGGATTATAATTGTAGATTTGAGAGAGCACTGGTGATAAAAATAGCTTTGAAATAGTTTTTACTCATCATGCACTGGATAAAGCCTTAAAATGTTGCTACATTGCCTAATGGCCTGTTGAGAGCAAACAGCCACGTCTCATCTGTGACAGACATGAATTTATGTTTTGACAGCAACGACAACTGAGGAGGGCTTTATAATGAAAGTGTGTAAGCATCACATTTCATATAATATGAGTTATAATTATCCAGTCACAGTTGTCAAACATATGCACTTTCAAGCCTTCAGGAAGTTGAGCTCCTCTGGTAGATTTGTTTGATCTCCATGACAGCTACAGCTAGTTAAATCAGCAAGGGGCCTGTTGGACTGGGAGCTAATTTGTCCCTTAACAAGAACTGTTTACCCATTACAGCACTCATCGCTGTCTTCATGTCGTGGACTGTTAGCAGCACAGATTTAGCATGTGATAGGGACATTTTACTGTGGATGCAGTTTTTGGAGTTTTCAGTTCAGTATTCAGTCCTCCACAGTCAACCTGATGCACTTTTGGCCAAACAGCTTAAATATTCTGCAGGGATGTATTAAAACTGTAACTGTAACAAAATAACACATTCATTTTCTATTCCATCCGACGTGTATTCATTATGAATGATTATTATTCTGCTCCTCTCTCTTTCTCTGTTTTTCCCCCTGCAGCCACTAAGGTGCTGATAGCTCCAGTGGTCATTTTGCTGGTCGTGGTTCTTGGAGCTCTCGCACTGGTGATAGGTAACATAATTATACGCATGAACACACATGCACATTAGTCAAGGTGAAGCTCCAGAGAGAGCAGTAAACAGATAGCCGCTAAATGGTTTGACTCTATTATAGATATTTTCTTCCACACAGCAATGCAGATGCACTGAATATGCAAAAACAAACACATAATCATACCACAAACACGCCTGTGTATTTGCATGCATGGCATTCTCCGTTATATGAATGAACATGTTCTCATGTAAAGGAGAAGTAAACCGTTGAACATGCAGATTATCAAGCTCACTGTCCTTGGCTTTTACTTCCTGAAGCTACATTTACTAGTAATATCATCCAGCTGCACTCTGTGTGCACTCTGTCAGACAGTATTGGGAACTATCGAGGCCGCAGCTGAACTGTAATTAGTGTTAATCTCTTCCCCGTGTCTGTACGTCTGACAGATGATCCGCTGCCGTCTAACATGCCGTAATGGCAGATTCATATTTATTTTTGTCGTTATTAGAATCAGTGATGTGCTGCTGTCTCTCTCCAATTCTCTCTTTTTCTGCTCAATTAATTTCACATAGACCAAATCTGTTTGCAGTGGGCCTTAAGATGAAACAATCAAATCAAATCCACATAGAAAAAACTCATCAGAGCTAGTAATAGTTTATTAAATTATCATTAGTGTCATTAGAAACAGTGATAATTTGCTCTAATCCATCTTCCTCCACTTTGTGCCACTTTATCTCCACAACCACCTTCTCTGTCTGCAGGTTTGGTAGTTTTCCCGGTCTACTATGTGTGTAAGAGGAGGAAGAAGCAGCGCACGCAGGGCTCTGGACGATGGATCTGAAACCTGCCCTGCACTTCATCTAGACCACGCACACACAGCTTGAAAGACGACGCCCACATCTCCTCAGGGACGAACACGCCAGCCTGAGTCATCACAAAAGTCTGAGAGGAACATCGCAAAATTAACCGTGGTAATTAGGGAAGTACATAAACCAATAGAGTGATGCCTGGATAATACACACATCACCATGTCGAGAATATTTGTATCTCACGGGACCACTGCTGCAAAAGGAATGAAAAAAAAAAAAAAACGCAAATTTAAGTTGACTTCTGGAGGGACCACTGTTATGTAAAGTGTTTGAATCCCTTAAATCTCAACTAGATTTCGCAGCTGTTTTAAGCAGAGAAACTTACTTGCCAGCCGACTCTTGTCCTGTGACACATTGCAGGAAGTTTCAGCAGTGTATATTTGCAGCTTTTCACTCCTCAGTCACACATTTAACGCCCACTATCTTTCAGGAGAACAAACACAGGTAATAGACAGATGCAGTTTTGTTTACACCTGCAGTTGTGAGAATGTGTTAATTGGAGCCTGTTAGTCGGATATGATGACAGACTGTTGTGGAGGGAAGGTTTTGAATGTTTGACAGTGTTGGATGCCGGAAATTATGAACACTGATTGCTGGAAAGAGCGTGAAGAGGACAGGAGGAGCTCACAGATTAATAACAGAGAAATGTGAGGAGGTAATATCTTCCTTATTGAACTTTTGTAAAAGCTTCTTCAGTCCTTCAGACCTTTTGTGCTGCAGTTGGCAAGAGAAAAAGTGCAAGATGGAAGAGGAATTTGGAACAAGCCATGATGGAAAAATGAGTTCTCACAGATGCAACAAAGCTGGACATTACATTTGTTCATCTTCCTCTGCTGGAAACTCAGTTTTCATTGGATATTGTAAATCCCCCTAGGGATTTGAGTGTTTGACAAGCACAAACTGTTCAACATAATGTGAGAGGACTAAACTTGGAGGGATGGAATGAACTATTCTTGGCTAACCTGTTAAACCTTTACTCTGCCTGATGAAGTTTTTGCTAGAAAGTTTGAAAGTCGTCCCAAGAGTGACACCTAGTTTTAAAGGCCACACCCAACATAGCTTCAAAAAGGGGTCCTGCAGACACACATTCAGTCCACTGACCCCTCAATGAAATAGTGAAAAGCCGAATTTTAGCTCCATTGATTTTTGTGGCGGTTTTAAGTCGATTCATCTTTCTAGGTGTCCCTGTCTTCCCTGCTTTCCTTTGGTCCCTCCTCTCTGCTGGCCCGGCTGGATGGGTGGTGGCTCACACACCCTCCCCACCTGGCAGATCGTCTCTGCTGTGCCCACATACTGTATGCCAGTATCTGCATCATCAAAAAAAAGAGAAAAAGAAAAAAGAAAGCTGCTGTGCGGCAAATTGTGCCAAAACAAATCGCTGAATGTGGCAGGACAGACTCTGTCCCTTTGTTAGATTTTTTTGTTAGTTGTTAGGGGGCTGCCTGTTGCAGAGGTTTGGGTGGTGATGCTGCTAGTGTGTAGTGGAGTCTGCGGAAAGAAGTGGACTGTCAGATTACATAAGTTGTAGGAAGTGAACTTCCCAGAAGAAAGGACTGAACATACTATTGCAAATGGTAGATAAACAAAAGTATTTAAGAGTTTAGTTTTCGTTTTCATGTAGTCTGGGTGATGGTTTGCTCAAGAGCTAAACTGGGTGTTTTTAAAGAAATGAGTTCATCGTGTTGCTGTGCACTGAATATGCGGAAGATTAAATATGGTTGTTAATATTGGGGTAATCAGGTTTTCAAGGGTTTTAAGAATCGAGAATTTGGTTTTGTGTCTGAGTTTTGCAGTGATGAGAGGATGCCCGTCTGCTTCGGAGTTTGGAAAGTGACATAGCGGTTTTTAACGTTGCATACACCCTCTTAGCTCATTCACACTGGCACATACTGCAAGAAAGCACACGCATGGAGCGCTGCCAGGAAACAGGAGATTTGCAAGAGCTTTAAAGGTCGTCACCTGGCAGCAGCCAGCTTGCTGTCCTTCAGTTATCCCTCTATCCTCTCCTCCCCGCTGTGATTCCTTAGTTTTTAAAATGGGCGCACATCCACTGGTGCTTTTTCAGCCACAAAAAAATCATCCCACAAACTTGATGCTTTTGAGCCTCTGATATGTGAAAATAACACAGCTACCTGTGGTGCACGCTGCGGTCAAGTACAAATGGTTTCCACATCAGTCCCTGATTTTCTTTTATGTGTGTGTCTTTTTATCTCACCACTTTATGGAGCGATCTGTTTTTTGTTTTGTTTTTATCATATTATGAACACGTTTTAATGGAGAGACTCAAGGAAAAAAGACAAGAAGGAGCACAATATATCTGCACATAATGCTACAATGAGAAAAGAGATGATGAAATGAGGAAAAGTTGAGGTGAAATAAACACTCAGTTAAGATAATAAGTGGTAACCAGTGGATTACATCCTGAGTGTTACTGCACACTTCAGCACTCAAACCTGGACTTAAGACATGAAGGAAAAGCTGGGGGTTGATGTTCATGCATGTTGGACCTTTTGCGGTGCATTGCCATGAGCTTGGCTTTTGTCCCAGGGATCTGAAACATTTTCTACATCTGGGAGTTAATAAATACCAACTGTTCCTAAAAGGGCACAGAAAACATATTGTTACACACTGCTTTCAGAAGGTCCTGACTCTGGGTTTGAATACACTCTCAGGGAGTTTGTTTTCTGTTCACTGTACCAGAGCCCTCCATCCACAGTACCCCAGCTGTGCCACAGAAACTTCTCATCAGCACCGTCGAAAGTCTAAATGCTTCCTGATGCTTTCGCCCAGAGCTGCTTACCGACCATATCTAATTCCAGAAAGTAAAAACACTGTAGTGTCAAAAGAGATCCAAACATCTCAGCGATTCAAACACTGTCTGTGCTTCCCAGCCTGACTCAGCTGTGCTGTAAATGCTGCGTGGGGGTCAGGGGTCGAATCTGGGACTCAAAAGTGGAACAAGAAAATATGTATCAGTAATACAGCACTGGGAAAACTAAATGTGTAAGTTACGCGCCAAAAAAAACCTATCTACTTAATAATTGTTCATCATATGCATACATGTTTTATCTAACTGCTCAGCTAGTACTACACTGACATGTTCAAATGCTGAATTTTATTATTTGTTTGAATGACATAAGGACTGACATGTACTTAATTTGTCTGTAGCACAGGAATCAGAGTGAAATAAGTTGAATTAACCTGCGGCTGTTTTACATTTTATACAATATTGATGGCATTTTATCAAAATTGTTGCACAGTTTACCACCGCTGAAACCATTAGTCCATTGATTAGCTCATTGCCAGAAAATTAATAAATGGCATCTGTAATAATTGACTAAATCATTTACATCATTCAGCAAGTAAGCAGCTTCTCAGGAGCATGGGTTACAGTCTGATTTATTTGGCAGTTTTGCTGTCAGAGTAATTGCAGTTCTGAATTTGTTCTACCTGGTCGGCGACAGAACAAATGTAAATGTTTTCTAATAGGATGGTCTTTGTCCTGGTCAGCCCCTCATGTCTAATATCTGTGCAAGTGTGTTTATTCAGAATTCTGCTGATTCAATGTTAAGATGTTAAGATGCCATGTGGAAATGCCATCATTGCTTTGTTTTGTTGTATTGTTATATTTCTGACTTGATCACTGACATTTATCCAAACACTAAGCAACTATTTGGGTAAAGCTTAACATGCAAAAAAAAAAAAGTTGCTCCATATCAATTCATTCAGTGACATGAGAGTTATTTGGCCAATGATTTTCCGTTGCTGGGGTGTATCGGCTGGCTGATACCCCCCGGCCTTTTTTTATTTGTGTTTAAATCCCAGTGATATCGGCATAAATATGCAATAGTGCCTTCACACCCATTATAGATCAGGGTTTGCCAATCTGTGGTTTCGGGGGCCCCTGCGTGACTCCAAAGAACATAAATGGGGGTAAAATCTATCACAACCTCACCAAGTGATGCGTTATGTGTTAGAACAGCTAAATCCAATCATAATATATTATATATGGTGTTACTATGGGGCTCCTAATGTAAAAGAAACCACAGATGAATATATCTATGGATCTGTTACCCCAGCACACAGGGCAATGTGCAGTGCAATCAGGCCTTCAAGTGACAATGTTTTTCTGATAAAACTGTGATTTGAATAGCTAAAGATTGAACCAAACCTCTAAAATACACAATACGGGGTTTCAGCTATGTCCCAAATAATCTTGTACTTTTGCACAAGTTAAACTGTCACTTTATTTTGGCTCATACCCACCTCACCTCTTTGGACTTTGTAGATTAAAACGAGGAAGCAGCAGTACAGTTCCAGCATTGGGTGAGCACCATGAGGCCGGTGTGGATTAACACGCTCAGTGAAGGAAGTGATTATACCAAAAAAGAATGTGTCATTTTCAGCAAAGCAAATGTCTAGTTAGAGATGATACGTCATAGGTTAGTTTCAACTCAGGAGGCCTGTGGATATTTGTTTTGTAGTAAATAGTGTATTATCAGTAACATCAGGAGTTTCCACCTAGTTACATGCAAACGACAACATTTTATGTCTGTTATGTCTGTACACTTTGTTTTCAGGGATATTTCTAGTCAAAGAAATGTCTTTAGCTTGATTACAGTGCTCCTTGTTTGCACCAAGAACAGAATCTTCCTCCTGTTAAAAATGTCTGCTGAAATTATTATTGCTCACTTGTCTGGGTACAAACTTTGTTTTCACCTGAGGATCTGTTGAAGAATAAACTAAACTGGGTCAAATGCCAAAACATCCTGGTTTGATTGATTTATTCGGTATTAATATATTATACCAGGCTATTAACCCTCTTCATGTTGACAGGTTTGTTCTCCTGTGTGTTTTTCTCTCTGATTTATTTTAGGTTTTTGAGTCACTGACAGTCTGTTTCACAGCCTGTATGAATGTCTGTCTGTTACATCAACATCAACCTGTCTTTCTTTCTGCGACCACAGTTGTGACTACCGTTTTATGTCAGCAGGGGTCATAAGTGCTCTGCAGGAGGGACATCTCTATAACCTTCATTTTTAAATTGAACAATGCAAATGCAGTGCATTAAGGGCATAGTCAGTGACAAAGGTAATGTTACCACATTAGTTAATATGACTTGGACTTTGGTTATGTAACAATTTATAACAATAAGTCATTAATAAAGTACAATAATTTTTTACACATATTTAATGGATTTATTAAATATAATTGAATTAGGTTATTTCTGTTATTATTTAATTAATAACAATAATATAGTATTTGTAATAGTTTATTTTGTTCATGTTAAGGATTACATAAAATACTAGAAGAAAATACATTGTATAAGAGGTTTAAAGGGAAATATTTTATGCATACAACAGAAGTGGAACGTACATTTTTTTATTTGTTAAGTACTGTACTTAGGTACAATTTTGAGGTAATACTTGAGTATTTGTCTGCTACTTTATACCTCAACTCCACTACATTTCAGAGGGAACTTATTTCCTTACATTTACAAAAGTTCCTTAAACTTTGACACAAAGTAAAATTTTGATGATAATAGTTTTGTACTTTTATTTTGTTGCAAGTTGTTGAATTCAGGAGTTTTACTTGTAAAATTGTAGTATTTCTATATTGAGGTATTGCTACTTTTACTTAAGTAAAAAAAGTAATGTAATAATAATATTTTTATTATTATTAATAATAATAATTCCTCCACCGCTGATAAACACGTGTATTTATTTATTTATTCTTTGTATTTCATTCAAACACATTTGTTGTTGTGTCCAATAAGCGCAGTTTTCCTGTACGTCCGGTAAGTAAATTAAGCAAATTACAACCGCGCGAGCTCATTGGCTCGTGCTCGAAGCTCCGCCCCAGAGCTCTTCCAGCGCGTGACAGCCGAGGAAACCCGAGACACTGACCCCGACGGCCGGTGCTGCGCGTGCTGACGTTCCTTGTGTATCTCAGGAGGTCTTATAGGAAACTCACCTGGCTGTCGCTGATGGAGACCAGACAACAAGGTGAGTCCGCGTCGGTTCGTGTTCAAAACAAACTCTTTATTTCTCACACACAAGTTTAAAGAAAGTCGCTGCTGCTTGTGGTCAGTGTGCTGTTGGTCAGATAATGAGCAACGGAGGCTGCCTCTGTTTTGGGATAAAAGGAATGAATATATCAGCCAATAGCCCACTGGGAAGCTCTGTAGTGGAAGTAGTGCAGAGAGCCCCTCATTTATAGATTAATTATTGATTTATTGAATTATTAATTCTTGCAGCTTGTGCTCTTAAACATGTCCGTGTTTCTAAAATGTGACTTTATTTATTTATTTATTTATTTATTTATTTATTTATCTTCAATGACCTTCTATGTGTATGCTACTGTCTTTCTATAAAGCTCTCTGATGCCATTAGTGCTGATTGAATAAACAAATAACCAGACAGGAAGACTTGGCCAGTGTCCTGTAGGTTTGTGTTTCTGTTTGTTCAAGACATCATGGAAACTCCAGACCAAATGAAGTCTTGTGGCTGGATACTGTTTCCTGGCTCTGAGGCTATCTGGTGGTCTAATGCATGAGCTGTCAGGTATTTCTGGTATTTGTAGAAGATCAGCAGCATGCCAGTTTCCTATTGATCTCCTGAAATCAATTTAATTGCCCTCTTATCCACACTTGGTTTCCTGCATCTTCCTCTTTCGTTTTGAACCCCGCTGAACCCAGAGGTTTTGGGAAAAGCTTTAATTTTAGATTTGTTTGTTTTGAGATTAATTCATTAAAACTCATTTAAGTCATTTTAATTAATTCATGAAAGATTCTGTAAAGCCTGCAGCATGAATGGTGTTTACAGCAATAAAAATACCACATGTTTATGTCCTTATGTGGCTTTGAAGGACATTTTAACCCTTTCATGTTGTTGGATGTTGGTCTGCAGTTTGAAAGAAAGTGTAATATTTGAGGCTGTTTTGAGGCTGACAGTGACGGGAGCTGCTGAGAATTCATATTGTTGTTTGATTCAGTCAGTGTTTACTGAGGAATGGGAACAGGAATGACTCCCAGATCCGTGCAGTCAGCAGGATGAAGGCGGTGTTTGTGTATACAGGTAGTTAATTGCTTTCCTTTGCATTCCAGGTCTGAATATGTATGGCTCACTGGGAGTCAGCAGGGCAAAACGCTTTCAAACGCTTCCTTTTTTAAACCTGAACTTGATGAAAATTATGATTTGCATTTATAATGGAAAAATCCTAAAGGTTTGTAATCAACCGAGGTCTTAAAAATGCCTGAATGAATGAATATTCGATACAGTGTGTACAGTGTTGTTGCTGTTCGGCCTTACTGCGGGCAACTTGGCCTCCGGTTCAATTGATTTTGCAGCCATATGACCATCCCCAGGTCTCTGATTTAGCATAGCCACATGACCAGTGGGCTAAATGGGAGTCTTGTGACCAAAGGCATTCCACCCCAGGAAAACGGGAAAGGGGGGAGAGAAACAGGGAACGGAGAGTAAAGAACGGGAATGTTAAAATGTATATTTGTTACATATTCTGCTGTTGATTCAACAGCAAACCAGACAGCCTATGAAATACATTACATTGGGCTAATGAGTGCAGCTTTGTCTGTTATTATCATGAGAGAAAAAGAACCACAAAGGCACTCATCACCTGCTTTGGTGGATACTGTGGTCCACTGAAGTTAATCTTCAAGATCTTAAGAAAGGAAAGGTTCTTTGGAGTCACAAACATGATGTTTCTTAGAAATAAATGTTATGTAAACTTGCTACTTTAGTGATCTTGTCATTGTCTATTCATGTTTATGTTTTACACTGAAATCTTTGACCCTTTTTCTTCCCTGCAAAAGCGGTTTAGCAGTCAGTTTTACCACAAGTCAAACCAGAAGGAAACCACTGTTAGTGAAACAACAGTGTGCTTATGTTGGCCCGCTTCTTCCTGTAGTGCCTGAGTATGGTGTAATGAGATTTCGTCAGCAACCAGAGAACTTTGATTGCTCAATAATCTTGGATATCCTTGCTTAATTGTTTTAAAGTTAAAGATCTTGTTGTTAACTCTGCATGGCACAGATTTGCTCCCTGGCGCCGGGTTTTAAATAGAAGGAATCAGGTATATCCTGTTTAAACAGCTCCAAGATGTCCAGATCTGTGCCACAAAAGGGTGACATGTCAGATTTCCTGTTCCTGTGTAAATGCAGACTCAGATAAGCTGCCTACAGCAACTCCAGTAATGAAAAAGACTTCACTATTATAACGTTACTGACAGCGCAGGGATGGACACTGGAAAAACACCAAATCTCCCAGGAGCGGTGACGTGTGTGTGTGTGTGTGTGTGTTTATGCATGTGTATATAACCCGTTTTCTTGTCTCCTCTCGCCCTGCTGCCTTGCTCTGCTGCAGAGTTGTACTCTAGTGTTCTGAGTGATGCAGTGGTGGACTGGGGCAGCATGGGCCCTGGAGAGGAATGGGTTAACTCAGCCACAAACGAGGGAGAGCAGGGTAAGACTCAACTCTCCCAGGTAGAAAAAAACATAAAAAAATCCAAACTGAATCAGAGGGTGGAAAATGCTGCTGCACAACGGATCGCATCACAGGAAGTGACGTCAATGCGTGTGCGTTTCGTGACATCACCTGTTGAAGTGACGTCACTGACCTGGGGGTGTTTGAAGAAGTGCAGCAGCGTTTTTTCTTCCTCGTGTGATTCAGTGCGGATTTAACTAGTGATGGTCAGGAGAGTGGGTGAGTGTCGTCTGAGAGCACGGACAGCAAGGCTGGGATCACTATGAAATAAGATAGAAAGTGCCATTCCTAAAATTGTCAAAACAGAAGAGAAAAGAGAGAGACATTTGGTATTTTTGCTTGACTTATATTATATTCAATTATCAAAGTTGTTTCTGTCCATATCGATACAAATTTTAGAGGGGAAGAATCCACCGATTCCTAAAAAGGTGGCAGATAAAGTGAATTCTTGAGCTGCACCAATATCACGATGCAAAGGGACACAGACGGCTATAAATACTTAAGTTAACTATTCTTTAACATGTTCACAAATTTAATGTATAGGCTACATTGTCAACCAATTCTATAAATGAATAAATACAAAACAAAATAAATAGTTAACATCAGTAGTGTATCATATCAGCACATATAGGATGACAGATACGCCGATATCAATACGATACCGATATGGCTGCGATAGGCCGATATTGGCCGAACGATATATATCTCTCCAGCTAATTGACTTATTACTTCAGCTTTACTCCACAAAACGTTCAGGTTGGCCTTGATCAAAGTACAGTTAATCCAAGTCCAGATGAATATTTAATACTCTGTTAATGGCACTTAATTGAACTGTTTAGGGATTTCAAGTAAGACTTTAAATGTTGGATTCATTAGGTAATAAATCTGAACATAAGAACATAGTTTGTCTACATTGTCTACAGATGAATAACAAATATAACTAATTTGCTTTGTCATTAGATGCAAAAATGTGCTGTTGGGCCGCTACTGACACCCACCTCCTGCCCTTTGTGCAATGTCTGTGTAACCTGAAGCTTTAAAGGTTCTGTTAGTGTAACCTGTACCCAAATACTGGAATAATACTTGTGTTCGTTTGGGACACTTTGATTTAACAAACCATGTTATGATTTTCAATCATGTGAGCACAATGGAAAGAGAATAATCTGAAGCTCTTAAAATTAGATTTAGACACAGGTTCCCACAACCAGACAGCCACAAAGTGAGCTAATGAGGACTAGCTTTATATTGTACTTTAGTGGCAACAAAATAAGATTTTGAATGCCACATAGAGTAGAATTAGCATATTGTAGCTGTGGGAGTTTGATCCATTGTTTACTCTCCCAGGAGCTCAGACTTCTCTCTTTTAAGACTCACTAAACAGGTGGCTCTCTGATCTGTTTACAGACGCTTCCTGTGTGCTGAAATCTCAGTGCTGGTTTCACATGGCTCATCATCAGACTTTGCATTTTTTTTTGTCAGTTAAGCTAAAAAAGTCATTAAAAGCAGACTCATCACTTGCAAAATAAGATGAATCATGCACTGTTTTGTCTAAGATATACTGAAATACATTCAACTGTTACTGTGCTCAGGTTTGAGTCAGGGTATGTTTTACCCCTCTGGCGAAGAATCGGTTAAAAGGAGCTCATGTGGCGAAGACTTGGCTCCAGTGGCACAAAATGGGGAAAATCTGACAGAATGGGATAAAACTTCACCATCAGGGGATCAGTGGGGTCAGCCATGGTCTCAGTCTGACAACTGGGTCATGTCCACCACTTGGGACATGCAACTGAACAGCACAGGTGAAGAGAGACATAGACTACAGCCTGTAGAACAGACAATCTTTTACTTTGGTTAGACATTTACTTCTTGTAAGAACTGACCTCTGTGGCAACCTACAGCCACACTGGAGCTAAAGCTGCCACTGAAGACACTGAGGTCAAATCCTTTGTGTTTGATATCTAGCAGCATTAAGGATTCAAACCTACTAATAAAAAATAGTGTGAGTATATTAACTGTACGCAGATTTAGGTATTGTTAGACTTAATATTTTTAATTTTAACTAACCAGTAAATTACACATCTTACTTGAGCTTTCTAATGTAATTTTATTTGACATTTGACCATAAAATCTCCACTGGTATAAGTGTATGTCTGCATAGACGACCTACATATGAATAAATCACAGTAGCTATAGAGTATAATGTCCAGGTCTGTTTAATTGCAGCTCCACAAGCTTTTCCTTCTCTTAAATATATTAAACTAGTTGTAATCTGTGATACTTTGAGAAACTGAAAACATCAGAATTCAATTAAACTAAGGACTGTACATTGAATTAGTCCAGTAACTGATGTTGACATGTGAAAGGGGAGAAAAAACAGGAATGGATATTGGTTGTGGTGGTTACAGATTATGGGTCACCGAATGCCAGTGTTCAGTGAATGAACATCAAATCTTTATGAAAAATGTTCAACCAAAGTGAAACGTTGCCTTAAAATGTAATCGTGACCCTTACTGCCCTAGAACATGATTAACTCCTACGGATAGTGTACACTGGTTATATACATGAGCATGACAAATTCAGTGCTGAATAATGTTCACTTGTTTAAAAGAAACAAACTGATAATAAGATGAGTTAATAAGTTGCCTGTTTACATCGCTTTAAAATGTAGCCTGTGTAACATGAACTAGAAATTCTCATTGATCCACCTCCCAGTTGGGTAGAGACATCAGGACCTGAGCTTTGTGTCTGACTGATTTCATGCAGTGAACCGTGACTGAGATCATTAACTTCACATTTCAGCATTCTTACCATTCCAGAGAATTGGAAATGGTACAGCAGTGTATTATAGTACAAATGACAGGGACCATCTTTCAAAACCAACATAAAACTGTGTGTAACTTTATTTGACATTTGACCGTAAGATCTTTAAACAATGTTGGCACTATTCCATGTCCTCTAAGAAGTGGCTAACACACTGTGCCTTTTGTTTCCAAGGCATGTGACTCTCACTATTCTTACATACATTTTTCAGACACTGAAACTCCCATAACACACAGACACAGCCTGTTCTGAATTTAAACTGGGAAAAAATGCCTTCATGTCATGTCAAACCATTCTGTTTTAATTATTTTATATTGTTTAAGTTTAGTGAGCATGCACATTAGCTAAAAATAAAGCTTCCTTATTGTACTATACTATTATAAAACGTGCGTACGCTTAAAAAGTAACCTGCCTTAGCTAAAAAGAAACCATTTGCAACATGCTACTTATTTAGATAAGTATGCTAAATTTAGCACCAATATGGTCACTCGTCATTAAAGGAAAAAAACGAATATTGTAACATTACTTCGAAATGAATTGAAGTAGAAATGCTGTGCTGTGGATGTGTGCCTTCTTAGCATGTTGCATCTTGAGTGCCTTTTAATGTGTTATGTTTAAGTTAATTAATGTAACAGTTAATAGCCGTCTTTCTAAATACTATCTAATACTGATAGACACTGGTAGACAGTATTTAAATCAGTGCTCTCCCTTGCATTTCTGGCATCTCATGGCTTTGTGAACATGAGAAACAACTTGGTCTGAGTTCACTTAGACAGACCTGAAAAGCTTCCATCTCAGCCACAGGGGTTTAAAAAATCTGATTGTCCTGCTGCTGTGTGATGTAGTAGCAGGAATAGCTTCCTGCTATGTACTGGTGCATGCTGTGCTTGAGTATAGTGCTGTAAGCTACACTTTTGTGAAGAGTAAGTGTGTTTGCTGCATGTAGTGATGCATCCCTTTCTTAACCGTAGATTTTGAAGTATTGAACTGTGAACAGAAGTTTGGTATAGTTATAACTATTGTTTTGGTCAGTCTTGACTAAACTTACTCTGTCGTCACCTGTCTTATAATGCTGCCACGTTAAGAGAGAGGACACCTCACAGCAGGTACAGTAATCCTTCTCATTTCAATTCTGTCAAAATTGTGTTTTCTAGATGCAGTTTACATGCAAAACTTTCACAGGTCCACTACAAACACAGTGACATGATTACCTGCCTGTATTTGCACTTCTCGGTTTGTGTACGCAGTCATCCTGCTGTTGCCTGGTGCTGTGTGGTTCCTGTCTGACCTGATTTGCCTTCCACAAATACGAGAACTCCTGCAACAATACGCGGCTAATCAGACGAAAATGATGTGTAAATCAGTTGTTCTCCTTTTACTTTTAGTCTTTGTCCATGTTTGTTTCATTCCCGCAAATTACAGTTTTGTGTGTCATCTATATAATAATGCCATCATTGCGGGCTCTCGACTTTATCTGCAGAATAATTCAAGTTATAGAAAGAAATACACAAGCCTGAAACCTAATGATGGGCTCAATGTGTTTCTGGTGTCAGCTGATGTCGGTCAGATGACAGTGTTTGTCAGATTTGTTGCTCTGCATGAATGTTTTAATCATAGAGATGCTTCATATTGACTTTTTTTGTTTTTTGTTTTTTCTTAGAAGTGCATGTAGTGGTATAGCCTGTGCTGGTGTGTGTGGGCGTGGCCGTGTAATTGTGTGTATGAGACACAGTGCTGTTTCCAGAAGTAAATACAGTGCGGAACGAGTATAATGAGGTGTTTCTGTGAGAGGCAGAAACTTCCCCCTCAGCTGGAAATATTATGTTCTGAAATTTGTTTTCTAAGTCTGTGAAAGAAGGTGTTTTCTATATAAAACTGCTTTGCTTTATTACTTTTATTACTATTTTTTATATTCTGTTATGCCTCTGATTTCATAAACGCTGTCATACCCTTGTTTTTTTATTGGGAATAGGTGTCAAGGCAAAACATAATTTGTTTAATTTTGTCTCAAGTAGAAGATCTCCTGTTTTATTTGTTCTGTCAACCACTAAAGTCCAATATTGCAACTTTAAATTCAATATGACCTCAGAAACAGCATCTTGTTTGTTTGTTTGTGTGTGTGTGCGGCAGTCTGTAGTGTCCGTCATCAGAGCTAGAGCAAGATAATCCACATCAGTTAATCCAGATTAGAGCACTACAGGCTGCAGCCACAGATTACATAACAGTCAGACAGAGTGAGACGCAGTCAGACATACAGACAGACAGATACTCAGACATAGAGGCTGTCAGACAGCTTGCAGCTCACAGATACATTTTAGAAATCCAGAGATCTTAAGTAAAACAGTGAAGGTCAGAAGCACTTGTTTCCTTTGACGTTGCATCTAAAGTACAAGATAGTTCAACTCTTTATTAACACCAATAAAAATACATTACATTCATTTGTTGGACGCTTTTGTCCAAAGCAACTTACAGTTAGAGGATTCATAGGAGCAAGAAGTTTATGACAATCTGATGCGTTTGATCCGAGGAGTTTTATAGTGCCTGGCTATAAATGAGGGAGCTATTTTAATCAAATTACTACTTAAATTCACAGATCTTTCTTTCTTTCCTCTTTTCTGTTTGTGTCTCCTTCACAGTTTTACAGGTCACACAGAGGTTTTATTTTAATTTCACCGTGTGTGTGTTTTATTCAGGTTTTCTGGACTCTGAGCCATTGAGGGAGGCTGATGAAGATTTTGTATCAGAAGTCAACTTAAGCAACCCCATCATGACAGACGAGGAGAGAGAGGAGATTCAGCAAGAATTAGCTAAAGTATGTCCACCCATGCACGACCTCGGGCTTAGAAAGAACAAGTAGTGTCGATATCACGAGGACAGTAAATGGACGAGTGCCTGTTAAGTAGCTCTTTTTGTCCTTTTTTTTGTGTGTATTTCCAGCTGGAAGAGGAGATCAGCACACTGAAGCAGGTTTTGTTGTCCAAAGAGAAGCAGCACGCAGACCTCAAACAGAAACTGGGCATCACTCCTCTGAGCGAGCTCAAAAACAACTTCAGCAGGGGCTGGCACGACATGCAGACCTCCACGGCGTACGTTTGCTGGTTTAACTGAGTCAAAGTGAAGAAAAGAAAGTGTGTGTGTTCGTGTCCATTTGTGTGCACATGACTGAATGGCTTGCCTGTTTGCTGTCAACATAGATGCCCTTCACAGGACTCACACACACAAGTAAACACACACACAAAGAGCAGGTTGTTGGTTTTTTTAACAGCTAATTTTGTGCCATGCTCCAAACTGAGTGTCTGTTATAAACACAGATATCAGAAACCCAATTAAAAAGACATAATCCTCTGCTCCTGGCTGCACAGCATGTTTGTTATCTTTGTTGTGCTCCGCGTAACAGAAAATCATAAACCTGATTTAAAAACACATCCAATGGCTACATGTTGCTAAAGGCTATTGTCGACACACAATTAGCTGAACACGTCCTGTCCATTCTAGGAGAAACGATAATAATGTTTTATCTTGTATGCCATTTTCTGAACTCTTACATGCCAATTAAATTCAATGTTCTCTGCCATGGCTGCCAAGGAAAGTTCAGCTTGGGAGTTATGGAAGATGTGTACAATTGCAATATAAAATCATATATTCTTAGGGAACTTATTTGGGGGGGAAAGCAATACTAGGTCTTAAAGCATGTTTTGGTTAAAACTATGTCCATTTAATTAAATTGTAACCATGCACTACATTCAGCAGTGCAATCACATGTACCAGTAATTGGCCAGTGTTCCATTACAACTTTATAACTTAATAACCTTCTGATAGTTGCTAATTAATCTATTTCTTGTCATTCTTCGTTGTAAGACATTTCTATTACAAATTAGTTGTTTATTTAAAACCATAATCTGTCACATAGCCAACATTGTCTGCTCAAATTGTCAAAGTTTCCCCACTTGCTTGCTAGCTAACTGGACACTTGGCACTTTTCACATTGTATGTGTTTGACAAATTAATGTTCAATGAAATATATAACAACATAATGTTAAATGAGTCAAGTCATTTAATCAAAGCTCGACTCAAGTTGTTGATTTTTTTATTACTGTTTGAAGGGTGTACAAGTATGTCTGCTTATGATATGGTAAAAGGTTTGTTTCTGTCTTTATATAACATGGTAAATACAGATGTAGCAAATACATATACATTTCCATTTTATCCCATCAATTTCCTGTTAATTCCCATGAAAAGTTTCCACCTTAATTATTCCTGGAATTTTGCAACCCTACCCATAGCCATGACATTAATATCTTAAACTGTTGCCTGATTATTCAGATAAAATAACCAGATTTTTACTCCGTTATCATGACTGAAATACATCTGTAATGTTCCTCCGAATCAGGTTGGACGAGTAACATTTTTTTGCCTTTTAGTGTGCAGAAGAATAACCTAATTTCCTCATCAGAGCCATGAGCTATGAGCTCTTACCCAAACACCAAGAGACAGAGAGGAGCAAGAGGATAGTCTCTAGAGGCCTCCCTTTTTATCCAGTTACACTTCACCCCAGCGATCACTTTACACACACAGTCGCTGTCCTCATGTATAATGAAGTAGTGTGACCAGAGGAGATCATACAGAAACTGGGGAACACAATGTGTAAACACCACCAAAATAACTGGTTTAAAGATCCCCTCCAGACATGTTTTTATATGTCTTGATCTGCTCCTCCTCCTCCCTCGTTAAAAATCTATAAATATGCAGATTTTGTTCATTTCGTAAAGTTTTCCTGCTGGACACAAGATGTCTCCTTCTTAGCTGTAAAGTCCATTCTCAGTGTGTGTGCACTGGTGGCTTCAAGTTTCTACATCACATATAAATTACATACTGGACCAGGATTTGACTTACAAACTAGTTGTGATGTGCGTGTGCGTGTGCGTGTGTGTGTACCGTAATGACGTATTTTAAATGCGCCTTCTTTATGTCTCAGCTATAAGAAGACATCAGAGACGCTGTCCACAGCAGGACAGAAGACCTCAGCAGCCTTCACCACACTGGGCAGCGCCATCACCAGGAAGTTCGGGGACATGAGGTACACAGCGATGTCACATCAGATTATTTAGTGTCGCTCACTTCAACACAGGGTTGGAACTTTTACCAATGTCAGCTGCATTTACTGATAATATATTATGTAAATAGTGTGTGGTCTTTTACAGCCATGGTTGCCCTTTCGCCTATCCTAAAGGTCTATCAACACATTTGCATATTCAAACCTATCATAACCCAGCCTACCTATTCCCCACTGATGCATTTTCCACTTTTATTCCGATTCACAGACATGTTTTTATTTGTGCTACTCATCCCCGTCCTCAGAGAGCAGAGTTTTGACTCTTGCTTCTATCCAGCTCAGGGGGAAGTTGAGATTATGTAAGCCCACATTAAGCTGCTTTCTGTGGGGAGCTGAAGAGCCCAGAGGCAAAGTCTGTCCTCCTCAGTCGCTTTCTCTTTCTTGTTCCGTCTCTTTGCCTCGCTGTCACTCTGTGTTGCTCTGTTTGAGATGCTGAAAGTCAACCCAAAGTGTGTTCGGCTGCATTGTTCTGCGTGTAAATAAATAAAACATTTGTGTGTATGACGACAGGAGAGAGCTGTGGGCCTGTGTGACTTCATGTATGTGCGGGAGGAAGAAAAGCTTTCTAAGATTGGAAAACAAAGCTAATTGGAGAGAATTAAAGACAATTGTAGAGGCAAATGGTGTATTGTTGATTTTGGCTACACTGCAGCTTATTATAATTTTGGAATATAAAGTTCAGAAAGGAAACAATGCATTATCTTTGATTATTCCAGCATGGTTGGTCTAGAGTTACTGTTCCCTCGAAGGTATGTCCCTGTCGTTTATGGCTCATGGTGTGCAGTTTTGCTTTGTATGCACATACAGAAAGCATGTTTGTATGCATTTGCTGTGGATTGTGTTTGAAATGTGTTCTTGCATGTCATTTCGTCCTATCAGTCAGAAATATTCAACAACTGATTTTCTCTAAAGTGATGCAAGCGTATAAAAATGTACTTATATCTGCCTACCTGTTCCACTGTCTTATCGTGGATTGTGTGTAGTTTGTGTAGACACTGTTTACTATAATGATTCTCATTCGCAACAACAAAGAAAAACTCATATTTTAAACTGTACATGCAAAGGTGAATGTCACTTTAGAGAGGATAGGATCTATCTATCTGATATATTATGGACAAAGTAACAGAAAAGCTGATTTTATCCTTTCTCACATCAAATCAACCATAAATATATCAAATATTTGTATTTGTGCACACTTTGGAGAGTGTTTCTGTGTCACCACTGTTAATTCTTTCATATTTCTCTTTCAACAACTAACTCTTTACTCTAGTGTGTGTGTGTGTGTGTGTGTGTGTGTGTGTGTGTGTGTGTGTGTGTGTGTGTGCGTGCGTGTGTGGGTGTGTGAGATCACATAAATATTTTGTGTACAAAATGTTTGGTAATCATTCTTTTTTATATATTGACTCTGGGTTTTCTTTAGGTGTAAGTGTAGATAAGATTGTGTATTTGTAATGTTTAACTTCAGTAGACCATTTAGATAAAGTGTAGTTCAGGACAGTCTGGTTCCCACAGTAGTTTTGTACACTTGCTTTGAGTTTAGAGATATAAGGTTGTTAATGGCATATTAATATATAGCATATTGCCCAGTGGCAGTTCACTTTTCATATAGAAATTGTTTGTATTAAAAACATAAATGTTGAGATCTGTCAAAGTATCTTAAAATGTTTTCCCTTTTCCTCCATGCTCCCCAAGGTCCAACTCTATAGGGTAAGAATCACACAGCTGATTACATTAGTTGTTCCTGACTAAGGAGTCTTAGGCAGCGAGTCTTAACTCAATACATCTCAGTCAGATCAGCTGATAGCGCTAACCGGTTGGTACAGTCCGCTGAGGCTGGTTGCAGTACTCAGTCAGTCAGTCAGGTGGTTCTTGTCTCAGCTCAGAATCAGATCTAATTGATTTTGGTCTCTGACAATAAATTCAAGTCTCAATGATTAATATGAACAAGGTGTCATGAACTGTCCTAGCTGCACGAAAGTGTTACAGTTAAGCTAATACAGGCTGAGATTGATTTCACTTTTGAGCAATAATTAATTTTATTGAACAGATGGTTGAAGATAGATGTACTGAATTAAGTGTGAGCTGCAGTATTTTATGATATCACACCACAGAATAATACCCTACACATTTCTCTCAATTCCATCCTCTAATAGTGGCTGTGGGGCTGACTCTGCATGAGCACAATATCAAAAGAAAACAATGATTTCTCTGGCTAACTCTGTGGGTCAATGCTGGCTGTGTGTGTGTGTGTGTGTGTGTGTGTGTGTGTGTGTGTGTGTGTGTGTGTGTGTGTGTGTGTGTGTGTGTGTGTGTGTGTGTGTGTGTGTGTGTGTGTGTGTGTGTGTGTGTGTGTGTGTGTGTAAACTGTACTAATCATTAACTCCTCTCTCACCACGCTCCCCGGGGATAGCTACTCTATCAGACAGTCTATGAGCATGCCCACCATGAGGTAATCACACTGTGCTTGCTTGCTTTTGTGTGTGTGAGTCAATTTATGTGTTTTTTCTTTGTATGACGTCTTTTTTGTCATTTTTAGCCACAAAAGTCGACCTTACTCTGATTTAGACAAATTAATAAAAATAGTTCAGACATCAGGTACAGTGCAAAAGCAAACTGTTTAAAAGAATTTCTCCAATAGGGGATTAATAAAGTAAATCTTATATCTTAAATCTTAATGTGTCCCCTCCATTGACACCCATTTAGTTATTGGCTGAGTGGTAATAAGTTCATTCTGATGCTAAAAAACCTGGGAAAAGTTAAAAACAGATGGTATTGACACCTGCTTACACCCCCTACTGATGTTTTTTTTGCCCTTTTCATACCTCAGTTCACACAGTCACAATGTATGCCATTAATTAATACTTAATGTGTGAAGTAATAAGCTATTGTTTACAAGGCAACACATGTAAATACAGTTATTTTAGAAGGAAGGACATTTGTGACTTCCCCGTATTGTATGTCAGGAAATAGTTGAGCCAAATAATGTTCTAAAATATGAATAATATAGTAGCCTTTCTTTCTTTCTTTCTTTCTTTCTTTCTTTCTTTCTTTTTACAGAAACTCTCCCAGCTTCAGGTCTTTTGAGGAGAAAGTTGAGAATACAGTGTCCACTATCAAGGTAAACAGTGTGTGTGATAGAGAGTTTATATGACTTATTTCAAGGTGTTAAAATGTCATAAAATAATCTTTTGAAAGCATGTTTACTATTCTTTGTTATTTTGGTTTTCTGTATCTTTGTAAATTGACTCAATGTCATTGTAAATGAGGGTCGTCCCTCAACTGATCTCTCGACTATAAACAAAGGTTTAATGAATGTATATAACCGCAGGGCATCTGACTATTTGCTATTGATTAAATATTGACAGTCACACCTAATGAATAACATGCAAACTCTGCTTTGTTTGGTAGTAAACTATGAAAGCCACACAGAGAAACTATCTCTGAGTGTTATAAAATGTGAGGGAAGCAGAGAGAACAGAGCTATAATCTGGGTGTAATTGCTAGCTTACACTCTGGCTCTTACAGCTTGTTGGTTATTTATATTCACACTGATCCTGATGCAGCCATGGCAGCAGCAGACCTCCATCCTTTGTCTGTACTTCTGCGATAGCCACTGTAAAGACCACTGTCTGATTTAAGTGTGTACAGAGAAGTTAGATTCTCTGCTGTTTTGTGACTGTTGCTCTCAAAAACACTCAGAGGCATACTGCAGTGTTCAAACAAAAGCAGTTTAAATTTGTAGTTTACATGTCAGCTTTGGTTACGTATTTTAAAAATGTAAACATTGCTCTCATCCTCTTATTTGCTCACTGGCTGTGTCTGAGAAAGTCTTTGTAAAAGTCTGCCACCTTGAGTCTGTTCTACAGCAGTGCAGCAAAGATGTAAGTCATGATTCAGAGATGACAGCCTATTTTATTTTTCCTGCATGTTTCATAGACAAAGGTTGGTGCTTCGGAGACCGGAGGCAGCTTTGAGGAAGTCCTCTCCTCCGCAGCGAACGCCAGCTCTCAGGACACTCCCACTAACACCTTGACAGACAGCTCTGAGAGGCCGTGTTAGAGCTGCATCCGCACCATGAGGCAGGTTTTCAACCAGGAACTCTGATCACTGCTGTATGGCAGCACTTATCTTACTCAAGGCTCTGACTGAAATGTTACAGAATGCTTTTATCTGATGCAAACAATCCCATATATGTGAGTAAGTCTCTTAACAATTGGAATTTCCTGCAACCCTAAATGCTTTGAAAGAAAATTGGCACCATTTCTTGTTTGGACTAGATTTGTCCTAAATATTCTAAAGCAGCAGCTGTCTACCTTTATTCTGAAGGATCAAGACAGCTACCTTTGATTGTGTAACACCTATAAGTGGACATGGTTGATCTTTTTGTTGAAGGACTCTCCTTCAGTGAGGTGGATTTAATCAACCTGCCCTCCAGTGGCCTCCAAACCATGTTAAACCACAGATGCTGGATCAGATGGGGTTGAAGGGGAGAAGCAGTGAAGCCTTTTGTTAGAAAATGGTGAAATGAAAGGAGGATGAGCAGAATCCAAGAACCAAAGCCTTGTATTTCTGGCCTGTATTTTCTTTCTGTCACTTACTGTAAGTCGAGCGTCTCATGGTTTGGCTCATGTAGTTACTTCATCACGAGTGGAAAAACTCAGCTGTCAAATCCCAGCTGGAAGTCCTCACACACAAAATGAGAGGTTATGAATTCCTTCTTTGTTATGTAAATTCAGCATAAGTAGAAACAGCCTTGTTGGTGCAGTATCCAAAGTCTACACCACTATGACTACTTTCATACCAAAAAATACAAAACTACATCCTTTGGTTATTATTAGAAATATATGTGTTTGATTTAAAAAACAATTTCAACTACTTAGGACTTTTTACCAAAATGTTTTAAAAAGATTGTATATAACCCAAGAAGTATAAATTATTTTACACTAAGACATGAGATTTTGTTATGGCCGATTTGTTAAACACACACGTTGCTGCTGACTGTTTGGGTTGGGGCCTATTTGAATGCTGGATCATACGCTCACTTATTCAGTGCATTTACACTATAGGACAAACTAGTCTATAGGAAGACATGAAACAATGTTTTTGCCATGTGCAGTGCAGGTTTCCATGTGTAAATGTAATAATGGAGTTTATTTTTGTTTTTCTCTTGACTGCCAAGAAACAGGAAGTCAAACAGAATCTTATTTATCACTTTGGACAATTAAATCTGATGCTGGAGATTAGAAAATAAATAAAAAATGCCAGAGCTGCACGGCTGTACCTCTGAAAGTGCTGAAGGTAAAAAGATTTGAATCTGTAGAGATCCAGATAACATTAAAGTTTACCATTTATCCTCGTCACGTCCCCTAAAAACGTAATGTCTGAGTCATTTTAGATAGGAGATCTGATGCCTAATGCTGTGTAACTGATACGGAATATCTAACATTAATATAACATCAGACTGTAGCAGTAGCTGTAAAACCACCCTGGACTGTAATGTGATCCTGAAATCCAAGACATGCTGTTACTTACTAATCTGATTTTTAGCTTCCTTTTGCAGAACTAACCCTGTTCAATGCTGAAAGAAAGAATGGACTTTTTATTACTTATCTATAAAAAGGTTGGTGCCACAAAACATAAAAAATCTGTTTTCTTTTTATCTTTTCAAGAACGGTCTCTGTGTCCGCTGCATAACTTTGCCATCAAAGTAATGTTGTGTTTTTAATATATAATCTGTTTTGTGTTTCCTTTTTTTTGTCATATTGTCTTTCATGTGATTTTATTTTCTTTGCTGTGGTTTGAGAAGATGCCCTGGATCATTTCATGTTCAGTTCAGTCTGTTCATGAAATGTATTTATTAAAATTCATGTCATGAATCGTGTAATGAAAGATCTTTTGTAGCAAGAAAAAGTTGCCAGCACTGATCTTTTACCAAATAACTAAACTGATGTCTGTCATTGGAAAATAAATTATAGTATATATTTTACATGTGCATATTGAGTTGGGTTGAAATACAATTGAACTGAACTGAAAAGACCTTTTCACAAAAAACACACCAGAAGGCAAAACTGTGACACTGAAATAAAATAACATTGTGTTTAACGTATTCATCTGTATTCATACAACTAATTACACGTCGTTATAAATAACAGTTTTTATGGTTGATGTATCGATATTAAAACTCGTCTAAACCAAACTAAATATCACAATTGACTGTTTTTACAATAAACACTGAAAGCTGTGACTGAACTTGTTGAATAAACAGATAAAACAACCAAATGTAAAGTAGTAAAGGTGGAATAATGTGCAACTGAAGTTCTATGCAACATACTGAAAATAATTAAGTGCTCATTTGCCAGCAGTATTTCTATAACCTATTTTACAAAATCTGTATATTGTACAGTAAGACTGTATCAGAAAATGCATTAACACTATTTACTAACTGTGCAGCACCATTGTTACATTTTCATAGACAGATGAATGATGTAACATCTGCCAGATAATATATACATATATATAATATGTCAAAATGTAATACAGTGTATTTCTTGATGGATTGGACATCTACAATAAAGTTGGAACAGTTTCTATACATTAATAAACAGTAACTAATAATATATATAATAATAATGTGTGAATATTACCTGGGAAATTACATGTTTAGCAAATGAGGAGAAGTTGAAACTCCCAATCTACAGTTTTCCACACTAGCTTCTGATCCTGTGACGTGTTTGTGCATCCTCATACACATATTCTGTGTTACAGTCCAGCGTCTCTGTCCCTCCACTGAGGAGGTATTTGTGTCGGTTGCAGTCAGGAGGAGGTGTGTGAAGTTGTACTTGGCTGTGAAGATGTTGCACCAGCTGCCTGCGAGTTCCCAGAATTCTTAGTTTCGTCCGTTTTAGTCATGTGACATCCTCTCTCTTCATTCAAAGAGCTGATAAGCTGGAGCACGTCTGGGTGGTGGAAACGACCTGAGAAAGAACAATGTAAGTAACAGCAACTGATCAGTGATATCAGTGAAATACAAATGTGCATTTGTCTCTTTGGTCTGTTACCCATCAAGGAATAAAGGACAATTATTTATCATTGTACAACACAAGTTGTATAACGAAATGAACGTTTGCAGTTCTTTCATGCTAGACACACAGAAAAAGATAATACAAATAACACACACACACACACACACACACACACACACACTTCCTAAAACTCTGCACATGTCAAAAATAGTTTTTAAAGGACATGAGGCCTAAAATGACACCAAACAACAGTAATGTGTGCTGGCTTTTCATTTTGAATTAGAGGCACAACTCTGGATTATTTACTGTTGTTCTGTTGTTTCAAATATAATAAGAAACTACTTTAGTTGCTACAGTATACGTATACACCGAATAAAACAAAGGAAACGTGACGCCAAAGTGTGAGCAACTTAAAGGACCGTGTAAAATGTTGTGGCATCTATTGGTGAACCAAATGAAAACAGCTCAGCCTTCAAAGCGTACAGGAGAAACTGCGGTGGCCATGAAACGAGCAAAAAACGCGAAAGGCCCAATCCAGAGTCAGTGTTTGGTTTGTCCGTTCTGGGCTACTGTAGAAACATATGACGGCTCATCATGGCAGCCTCCATGGAAGGCGGACCGCGGCGTCTGTAGACAAAAACAGCTCATTCTAAGAAAAGGAAAAAACACTTCCTATTTTCAGGTGATTATACTCTAATAAAATCTATAAATATCATATTCCATTTCTGCCAACAGATCCTCCTAAATGTTACACACTGGACCTTAAAGTGATGAGACCCAGTGAAGTGGGGAGGAACAGACATGAAATGCAGAAGGTGACGCACTGGAGACGTACCGTTGGTGGAGTCAAAGAACTCCTGCAGTCTTCCCGGCGTTCCCTCCAGCTCCTCGTACTCATGAGCCTGCAGGATCATCTCCAGGAGGTCAAACTGTTTCACCAACTTGGCCTCTGGACTGCTCTGAGTCTCATATTCCTGTAGATGAGAGAAATATGTGTCTGCTCTTCAGTTGGTTCAATTATTATTATTATTATTATTATTATTATTAGTGTTCAGCTACAGGGTCATACCTCCCACAGTCCATAAATCTCCTGTTTGAGTCCACCAGGCAGAAGACCTGCCAGGTGTCTCATCGCTTCCTGAGAGAGAAGTGAGGAGAAGTATAATCCATCATCATCATCATCATCATCATCATCATCATCACACACAAACAGAAATACTAGCATCTAGAATAATACATTAATAGTAGAACAGGACGTATCAGGATGAGACTCTTGTGTTTGGATCTGCTGTGAGCGACCGTGGCCACTTGCCTCTTCTCGCCTGTGTTTCTCTGCTTTACTGATGTTGTCTGATGGAGCGATATCTCCCACAATGCACTCTGCCATGTCATGAACCAGGGCCAGCTTTATGCATCTAAAAGAAGTGAGGAGAAAAATGTATGAGCATGTTAAAGCAACAAAATAATTGGACCACGCTGCATAAGCAAAGTGGAAATCTTTGAAATGAAACAACAGCTGTTTGGTCATCAAATTAACGTCTACTCAAAGTAATTAGTGTCCGTTGTCAGGAGATACTAGACAGTAACTTTCATTTTTTGGGAAAAGTTTCTTCTAGCTGTGTGAGTGGAGTACCTGTCCTTGTCCACTGTGGGGTCAGTGATGGTCAGAGACATCATGGCCATGCGGTACATGTGGTCTGATACGCTCTCTGGTTTCTTCACGTTCCTGTACACCCAGCCGGTCCGCGGGACCCTCTGCAGGTAACGTCAGCCACAACACACAACTCATCAGTGGCACAGAAAAATCTATCTATCCTTAAATATTACGTCTCATGACTTATTCCACCAGCTTAGTGAGACAGTTTGTGTTTGTAGAGACTAACATCACTGCAGAAAATCAGTGAAGATTTTTTGTTTGACTGCATTTTCCTTTTAGTCTTACATGTTGGCTAAAATTGAATAATACAGTAATCTTATAAGACATTTTTTAAAGCTAAAATTCCCTTGCTCCAGCTTCTGGAAGGTGAATATTTTCATAATATAATAAATTGAATTTATTTAGTCGGTCAGACAAAACAAGACATTACCATGAGCTCTGTAAACTCTGTGATCGACCCCATTAATCAGTTAATTAATCACTTAATCTATATAGATTAATGTTATTCAACAATGAAAGATTGTTGGTTACAAGTTAAAATCAACATTGATATTTAATCTTACAGCCAAAGTAATTAAATTATGTGTAATGTTAATTATTAATAATGTAATATTTAGCATCACTACACAGAGCCAATACAGGGTATTGTCAACTGTATGTTTTTATATATATATATATATATATATATATATATATAGAGAGAGAGAGAGAGAGAGAGAGAGAGAGAGAGAGACAATCTCATATATCAATATTTGCCTAAAAAAGCCCCCAAATGAAGACATTTCAACTAACAAACATGTACATATAATGTACATTACAGTGGTACATTAGTACAGCATTGAATATTAATATCTAAAGGTGGCATTATTATTTGGCATTTCTAAATATTCTATATTAATTTCTCCAAATACGTGTCACTAAATGATATGTCTTAATGATACATTATTCAGTCCAGACAGGTAAAGGTGAAGTTACACACACACACACACACACACACACACATTGTTGTTTATTTTTGGACAGGGGAACAAATAAGACACTCTGGCTCCAGAGCAGCAGCCTGAGTGTGGGGACAAGTCTTACTTTTAGCTGACCGATGAGTTTCATAAATTGCAGCATATTGCTCACGCCGGCTGCTGTCTCCATGGTGGCCGCCATTCTTGTCCGACCGTTGACCCGGATACTGTTTGTGCTGATGTAGTAGCCCAAAGCTGCCGCTAGGTGGTCGCACTAACCACACAACGAGCTTATGTGAAAACAAACGGTTGGTTTTTTTTATTTTACTGTGGCGTTTTTAATGTTTACATCGAGATAATATTCCACTTGATACTATTTTGTCCTCAGTTTGGGCACGACATTTTAAATTATTTGCTAAAAGCACCGAAGAGAGATGGCAGTAATGCGACAAGGGAACATGTAAATGACACGAAGAAGAAGAAACACCGGAAGTTAGAGAAGCGGGAGATTAGAAGACGTAAACAAACTTTTTTGTCGGCGTTTGTCTCTCTATCTCTATCTCTATCTCACTCTATCTCTCTCTATCTCACTCACACACACAAAAAACATCAACGAAAATGCTGAACAAAGCGCCCAAATTAAAACAAACAGTTAAATCTAAAATGAAGAGTAACATAAACGTGAGGCCGGCGTCGGAGGCAATGGTAGGTAGCCGACGATGTTTGTTCCTACTGTTGATATATTGACTGTCAGCGTTGTGTGTGGCTAACATTAACTAGCCTCTCTCTCTCTCGTCTCTTCTCAGATTGAACTGCTAACACTGCTGTTTTTAAACAGCCTGGCGGAGGAGGCGAAGGCCAAAGCTTTTGAAGAAAAATGTGCAACGATAAGAGCACAACATCTCAAAGCAGTGTCCAAGGTCAGTTCAAAGAGGGCTCAAACGACACAAACACACCGTGAAATAAATAGTTACTGACAGCTGCATCTGCGTTATTTCTTCTTCTAATCACAGCTACTTGTGTTACTTTCATTATCAATTAACTAATTTACAGTTACCTATTAATCGTTCGTTCTTTACATTGTCAGAAAATAATAAAAAACATGTGCATCACCATGGTGATGTGTTCAAAATCCAAGTTTTTCCGTCCATGTATTGTGAAAACGGATATTACAGCGCTTGTTTTAGTCCTGAGGATTTTCCGATGATCCTATATTATCTCATTAAAATACCAAACTAATCGTACATTTTTATTTCATAACGTTTTTTGTTGAATGCAGTGTTTCTTTTTTTATTGGTATGGTCTGAATATACAGCAAGACAACTGAAGTGTCTCAGACTATAAACAGGCACCAGTAGCACACATTATGTATATTTTTCTTTTACAATTGAAGTCTAGTGTTTATAACTTTGTTAATGAGTTTTGACAATGTAAAGTAAGCCACTGTGATCAAGGGTGATGTTTTTTGTAAATATCCTTTCAAGTAAATTTAGAAAAATCTCTGTATTAAAGGATACAGTCATTGGTAGGTGTCTTAGTTCCTGATTGGAGTCTGAATAAATGTTTGTTGAAGGCTGACGCAACATCAGAGAGATTAACTACTGAAAACTGTTAAAAATACACAAAGTGTTGGAATCAATGAAATCAGTAAACAGCATGTTGTGCAGTAGAGGTTTTCTCATGGAGCCTTTACAAATTTCATATTTATATTTCTAAACAAAATGATATTGGCTTGTTAGCTTTGTTTCAATTTAATCAAACATTACAGGACTGAAACACACACGAGTGAAATCTAAAATTGATGTTTGTTGACAGTCATTGATGAGATGTAGTAGTGCTTCTTATTAATAATGATTTATATTTTATCTAACACTTTTTGATGGCTACATTTTGAACAGGAGATAAGCTTACAAATATTTTTGTCTCTATTTATAGAAATTGCTGAAAAAAGCAAGAGGATGAAGACTGAAGTGCATCATCGTCATTTTTATTAACAGTATTGTGAACATTATTATGAATGACAGTCGCTATGTTTTTTGCTTTTTTATAGTATTTTCTTCTGATATTTTTATTTCATTCTTTGTGCAAGTTAATGTCTAATATCTGTTTTCCTATACGAGTTTTTTGTTCTTTGTTTAATTCTTGTGAATCGTATAATGGCTCATTTAGACCTCTGAGTCCCAAAACTTACAATGACAATTTATAATGGCTTTCTCATATTAAATAAATGGATAAACCAGTCTTAATTATATTTATAGTGATGTTGTGAGTGTATTAAGCTTTGATCTCAAAGCTGTGTACAGTTTGGAGTGGGTTAGTACTTCTAGATCTGTTCACCCCTCGTCTCGCTCTCCTATCATCCGTCAAGGTCAGCGTTTTAAGCTGCATGCTTCACAGCCTCTTCACTGAGCACGAGCTCAGCCACCCCTCAAATTCCTCACTTCTTCACGCTACATAGATTATCCACGTGCTGAGATCCTATCCTGCTTATTACCTACCACTGAAGGGGTCCGTGTGTAAATGGTGAAAAGGTCAAAGTCATACTGTTAAACTGCTGGATCGTACAGTAATTATTGTTGAGAACAGTGTTATGTGTCATCGCTTGGTTTGTTTTATAGCAGATTTTATAGAGTCTTGGCCAGTATAAAAATGATAGATTAAGTGCATAAGGGACAACTTCAGTGCATATATACTAGCACGATTACAGGTATGCGTCCATATGGTTTAAATTTGTTACTTAAACTTTATTATTCACTTGGCTCTCTCACCCCTTTGCTTGGGGTCCTCCACCTTTATCGTTTTCCTACACCCCCATTTCAGTTTGGCAGTTAAAACATTCCTTGGCCTCCAGCGGTTATTTTCTTCGAGAATCTGATCTGGCACCCCAGTGAGCATAGCCTTGTCATGTTTATGTTCCCAGTCAGGTTGAGGAGGTGTTACTGGGTTTGTGGAGCCCCACCCCTCTGACCTCTGAACCGCTGCCACTTCTCTCTCTCTCTCTCTCTCTCTCTCTCTCTCTCTCTCTCTCTCTCTCTCTCTCCCTCTGCCTGCTGTTCTCTCCTTTATTCCTATATCTCCATCACAGAGCCACATACATCGATTTCACTCTGATGTGTTGTCCGAAGTTTTCCCAGCTTGCAGTAGTCCTTGTTAGCAACAATAGTTAAACTTTTTCACACTCTCCTAATGGATTGCAAGCACAATCTAATGTATAAATCTACTGCATGCAGATTGATGGATGCTCTGCAGCAGCTGGCCGCACATCCAGAGGCTCCCCTGAGGTGTTATTTTCCTCCTCTCTAGGTTTGCTCTTGTCCTCAGTTGTTTTTGAGAAACACACTATTCATCCTCTGTCAAAATAAAAACAGTGGCCATGCCTCGCCTTTCCAGTGCACGTTCGTTCCTGAGCACCTGTTGACAATTGAAGCCAGGCAGCCAGCGCGGCCCTGTCCAGCTCCTCTGTCTGGCAGAGTGTAACATTTAGCTCACTCTCAGATAAATCAGCTGAAGTGTTAAACCCCACTGCAAAGCTCCTGCTCATTCCTCTTTTTTTCAGGCAAGCCAAGAAAGCACTGCAGTCCATTTTGGCAGAGATGTTGTTATGATAACTTGCTGTGCCTAATAGGGAGCACATGGTTTGACGGGTTTCTATCGTGTCACTGTCTCTGTTCATGTCTTTGTTCTGAGGAGGAATAAAAATATTCTAGTCTAACAACAACATGACAAAACGGTTAAAAATAAGCAAAAGCAACATCTTCAGTTTTGGCTTATTAGCAAATCGGGGGATTTTTCAACTCTATAAGATCTGACAGGCTCTGTAAGGATTATGGATTTAAGCAGAGGGTCATGAATTGCAGAGGGAAACCAAATTCCAAGAATTGGAACACTGGAGAGTTCAGATGTGTTTTGGAGAAGCAGTGAAGAACCACAGAGTTCCCAAAACAGACGATAATACACGCAGTGGTGCCAAACAACAAATTCTCTGGAGGACTTCAAGCTTTCATCACCTTCCAGCCTCTTGGTGGGAACCGCAGACCCTCTCTGACACCTCCAGCTCTCTAGTTTTGTTTTGTCGTTGAGAGGTAGTCAAATCACCCATTTTTTGGTTTACATTTCCTGAATCCAGTCTTCATGGGAAACACAAAGTGCCCAATAATGGATCAAGTTCAACTAAAATCTAAAAAAGCTTGGGTAACATGGTAACTGGCAGTTTTTGTGCGGCGGATGTGTTGTTGTTTTTTATCTTTATTCCATCATCGTGACTTCATCCAGCCCGTGTGAGAAGGCTTTGAAAAGCTGGTGGTGATATTGTGATGACACGCTTCAAAAAACATATTCATGATTTATTGTTTTAAATGGAACCAAATGAGGAGCTATTTTGTTGTCATGGTCACACACATACACACACTCTATTTGTAGGCTGAGCAGAGAGTGTATGATATTAGTAAATGAGGCTTGTGTGTACTCAATGTGCTACACTCGCCTCTAAACAAGTTCTGTTACTGTGATGCAACATTGATAGCAGTTTAGTCTTGAGTCTGGTGTAATACTGCAGCACAAAAAAGTGTCATTTGGAAAGCAATATGGTAGACTAATTAATGTATATGTGGCCAAATAATAAAACATAATCACGTTTTATTGGCCAAAATATCAGTATAGTTCTGAGACGTAAATTACCTCATTAAAAGTAATTTGAATATATAAATGATTTTCCCTTCAAACGTTTAATTACTGGAAACGATGTCTCAGACTTCACTGAAAAGTCAGTTGGATTCGATTTCAGTTGTCACAAAATCCTGCTTGTACGTACACATCTTAAATTCAGAATGAAAGTTTCCACTTCAGCGGATGAATGGTAAAACAGCCTTTTAGTGTCAAACTCTGCAGTGCAGTAATTATAAGCACAACACATTTCTGAGTTTAGGAGCCCTTTAAAAGACTGAATTCTAAGCTTTAGTTAACTAATAAATGTGTATGTGACAGATGAGGATGAAGGTTAAACGGTATTATGATTCCAGTTCTGTGAAGAGATGCTGTTTGATGTGATAATGGATCAGGAGGAGGGTCGTGAAGGAAGGGTAACAGGAGAGGAGGTTGGGAGTGTGTGTGTGTGTGTTTGTGTGGGAAGCAGAGACAACCCCAGAGCAGCTTAACCAAATTTACATTAGATCTGCGTTTCGACTATCATATGATGGTTTCTCTTCTGTTTGCATTCTTCGTGGCATTCTGCCGGCTTGAGTGATCTCATGGAATGCACATGGGATTTTCCTTCAAGAAAACATTTAGTACAACTCTGCTCTCGACTGCTCTCTTACACCAGACCGGAGTCTCTACATGGGTCCGTTTGAATGAAATTCGTGGAGATATTCCCATTTTTTAAAAAAGTATGTAACAGGATTTGGGATGTGATGCAAGGTGCCTCTGTTGACTGGATTGATGCTTTGCTGAAGGAAGAAGGAAAATGTGGATACCGTCATTAATTTGGATTCTGCACTTCATGAATCTTACAAAAGGCCTAGATAGCACAAAGATTCTGAAATATAGACGTAAGTATTCAAGCTTGACTTCTACCTCTCTGATAATGTTGTTAGACTTGTGCCTAATCTTTCTCCATTTTTCCAGGGGAAGGTAGTAAACAGTAGACAGACACTACAGTACATATGGAGACAATAAGTGTGTTCTTTCAGCTTTCAGGGAACAATGTGGTCATAGATTTCCATTGGTTTTACCCATTTGCACACAATGAATTTGAAAGCTTGGCTCAGTCTGTTGGCTCTGATCTCAAGTTGCCAGTAAAACTGCATACTGTAAATGGAGCAAAAAGTACTTCAGTATTTTATTCTCATTTTATTTGCACGAGCTCAGGAAGAGTATAAAATTCACTCAGGCCCCCCTCCACACACACATCCCATATCCCTTCATCCTACATCCACAGGTAGCTCCCCCATGAGCAGACTCTGTCCAGCCGGTTGTGCAACATGCTCGGCCCTGAATGGCTGTCTGTCCTGTAAACCTCGCCTTTTCTTCCACTTGGAGCTGGATGGGATGCGGCAGAGGGGCACCTGTCTGTCCACCTGTCCTCGGGGGCACTACGGCATGCGCTCTCGGCACATCAGCACCTGCACCAGTAGGTACCAATAAACACATGTAGGAGTGGTGGAATAAGTAATAATAAGACTTGAAATACACACTGTGTATATTACAAACTGACTTAAAGAAAATAAAACAAACAGGAATATCTTTTGGTGCCATTGGCCTATAGGGTGCAAGGAGGACTGTGCTTCCTGTTTCAGTGAACATTTCTGCACACACTGTCACCTGGGTCACTTCTTGTTCCGGGGCAAATGCGAAAACAGCTGTCCAAACGGACTGACAGCAAACGCAGCACTGCGAGAATGCACAGGTAAGACACTGCGCAGAACTACTCCAGTGTGTACATGTGGTTTTGTGCTTAATTTACTGGAACTACAGTGTTTGTGTCTCTGTCTCAGAGTGCTCTGTAGGCTGTGAGGTGTGTGTGAGGAGGAACATGTGTGTGAGGTGCAGAGCAGGCCTGTACTTTCTCCACGGCCAGTGCCATCTCACCTGCCCGAGGGGATTTGAGCCTGATGTGCAGTTTTTACAATGCGTCCCACAAGGTGAGAGAAATTCCCTTTCACCTCCAGCTTTTACGCCACATGATGGCACCATTTCAGCATCGCGGTCTCTGTGTGTTTTTACCTTTCTCATCTTCTCTCTCATCACAGTGCACTGTCAGGTTGGGGAATGGACGGATTGGGGTCCATGTGTTCGGAAAAGGAGCATGCGAGCCTACAGGAGGGGGGAGGAGACACGTACCCGACAAGTTCTGCAGTCACCAAGTCTCCACGGTGACCCCTGTCCACATGTGTCAGAGATCAGGAAGTGTGTCATCAAAAAGAGACCAAAGAGTCCAAATATGTTGTAATAAATAGAAAAGAAGAGACAATTATAAACTATTTGTTTTAACTTAATATTGCTCATTCTACATTGGCTGGTAATTTAAAAACTTGAAAATACTATTGTAAATTGTGGGAAAAAAAGCACTCCAACAGACATTATTAAAAGGGATGGATATGATGATATTACATCAAACTTTTGTGCTTCTATGAATTCAACACCTTTGCTGCATCGCTTGGCTTTATGTGGCTGAATCAGAGACTTTTTATATGAATAGCAGTCATGTGCTAAATTGATGCCACTTGTGTTTTGTTCTACATACTGATTGCCTAACTTTACTGTTTATGTCGGATTGCGACTTTTCGAGGACACCTACAACCCCAAAAAAGGTGTAAAAAGATTCTTACTTCCAATAAAATGTATTAACAAAAATGATTTGGTTCTTAGCTCTTTATGTTAAAGCTGGACAAAAACAGCCAACAAATCCTCAAGCCTTTTAACCAGAACACATTTTGATATATCAGACAAGGAAAAGCCCAGCTGTAAATTATAATATTAATGATATCTGGATTCCTTTTAGCTGCCTCAGTTTCGGGGTCCTGGTATTGCTGGCTCACTGTCACACTGTCGTGGTTTACTGGGACACTTGAAGCACTATTATTAATATTATTAATAACACCTGTGCTTTTTCTTCTGTGACAAGTTCAAAATGTCGGCTGTGAAGAGGCCAGTCAATCAGTCCCACAACACATACATTAAACAGAATAAGGCAAGAGTAAACAAATACAGAATTTTAAATGAGTATGCAATTGTGTCAACACCCCCCTGTATAACAGACCTGTAGGCCTATACAGCACATCTGAACATAATACAATAAGACTACCAAATCTAGATCTGTAGATATTTTAGAATGTTTTTTATGTTTTAAACGTTGCACAACACAACAATATATATCAAATTGTGTATTTATATAGACTTTTATACAAGCTATGATAAACACCAATATATAAATGTGGGAAAACGGGAATATCTTAAATATAAATCATATAATGAGTAAAACTCTTTTGTCTTCCGGTCATGACGTTCATATGATCATGGGTCATAACTGCGCAGACGCGAACGGTTAAGTTGCGTACTGCGCAGCTAAACTAGATCTACAGAACATGTAGCTTGGCGTTGGCAACGACGTGAGGCCGATCCAGGAGCACTGAAGTCAGTTGGGCTTGGCCGGAGCGATGTGCGGACTATAACGCAGTCACAAAACTTTATAACCAAATATAAATGCAGCTGAATAAATATCTCTAGCTGCGCTTCTGCTGCGGACGTTTCTAAAGGTTCAGGTGAGTGTATTAATAGAAAAGTAAAAAATAGCCAGGAAGCACATTCACAGCTAAAATGCTAACTGCATATTCTACAGCGGCTGTAAAGTTACCGTTTGCTAACGCTAGCTGAATGTTAGCTTTACATTAACTTTACAGTCGTTTTCACTTCTATTGTTGCTTTACATTAAACGGACGAGGCTCTGGTGCCACTGCCAGGGATGTAACGTTAGTTAAGCTACAGCTATAACTTTCTAATCTAATGTAATTAGCATGTCAGTGAGTTAGCTACCGTTAGCTTAGCGGTTAACGTTAGCTCTGGCAGACAGTGGAAAAGGGGCCTTTGGTAAGGTTGTAAGTCGTTCAGGGAAACCAGCTAATCCCTATTGTAACATACTTAAATTTCCTAAACTAGCGTTATGTGGAAACTTTATTTCCCTGGTTTTCAGAAGCCATAACTTTATGCTAATACAAGAGTTCCCAAAACGATCAACAAAATAGTTCAGGACTAGTGGGGACCGCACGGAACTGCATGTCTATTTAATTTAAAGATTTGAAGTTCCGTTGTGATTGAGCTGTCTGTTGTGCTTTTCTCTGTAGTATGGCCGGCTGTGGAGAAGTGGACTGTAAAGTGAATGCACTGGCTCCTACAAAGCTGATAGAGGAAGTAGGAGATACTCTTACTCCAGACCCCTCCAGTTCCACCAGCCCCCCGGAGTGTGCCATCTGCCTGCAGAGCTACATCCTCCCCGTATGTCTCCCATGCCGCCACGTCTTCTGTTTCCTGTGTGTGAAAGGTGCCTCCTGGCAGAACAAGCGTTGTGCACTCTGCCGACAAGAAATCCCAGAGGACTTCCTGGAGCGCCCAGTTCTCCTCTCACCTGAAGAACTGAAAGCAGCAGCTGCAGGCTTTGCATGGTACTATGAGGGGCGCAGCGGCTGGTGGCAGTTTGATGAGAGGACCAGCCGTGAGCTGGAGGAGGCTTTGTCCAAGGGCAGGAAGAGCACAGAGATGCTGATTGCTGGGATTCTTTATGTAGCTGACCTGGAGAACATGGTGCAGTATCGCCGGAATGAGCACGGCCGCAGGCGCAAGATAAAGCGTGACGTTGTAGATATTCCCAAGAAGGGAGTCGCTGGACTGAAGTTAGACCCCGAATCTGCCTCCATTCCTGCCTCCATTCCTGCTTCACCAGTTATCACCCCAGCTGCACCTGAACGCGTGAGCTCGGCTGATGGATCGGACACTGCAGACCCATCACAGTCTTCATCCCTTGGGATTATGACATCTCTTCCCCCTGTTAGACCTCCAACACTCCTGGGGCACCAACTTGTCAGTCCCCTTTCTCCCTCACCCTCACCATCACCTTCAACCCTGGACGAGTCTTTGTCCCAGCTCCTAATCAGCCAGCCAGAAGGTGACGAGGTGGAAGGAGACAATGAGCTACAGACGTACGAGTATGCGTCCGGCAGCAGTGAGAGTGAGGAGGAAATGGAGTGCGAGGGAGTGACACAGGAGTCGGTGCCACGGAGGAGACATAGGCCGCTAAGAGAGAGCCAGCCAGCCAGAATGCCTCCAAGGGGCGGGCCCTCCAGCTCTGCACTCAGTCTCCGCTCCCGTAGTCCTGATGGGCAGTGCACTGTGACAGAAGTGTGACTGCGACAGTGGAATCTGTTCTTCAGAAGAACTTTCATCAGTTCAGCAAAAAAAAGTATAAAAACCAGTATGCATCTTTAAAGGTCCATAGAAATGAAAAATACCTTTTTAAAAATACCCTGTGTTGTTACTTAAGTGTATCCCACCAGCCCCATCGATCATGTGCCAAGTATGAGCCATCTAATTGAACATGATCTACAATTGTAACTAGCATTAGCAGCAATGACGTGGGTCACAGCTGTCTGCTTGGATGTTAGTTTGCAAAAACATCTCACCGGCTAACATCTAACTACTTACACTTGGGATAAACTCATGTTGACCTCTGTTGTCTTCCACCCAGTATTGTTTTCATTCAGAAATGCCTAAGACCAACAAACAATGTACTACATTAAAGCCATTTCAATGGACCTTTAACACGTGAACTGAAGCCTTTTGTTGAAGACTTTAAAAGGTAGTTTGGTAGTTATGCAATACATAGGTTATACAGTGAAGGATAAGAAGTCTGTCAACTTCTTTGTAACGGTTGTCCAAAAACTACCATCTCGCACTGCCTTTACACCAGTCTGTGACATAGCAATACAACCTCTTTGAAATGAAACCACATCCTCTTTGTTCTCTAATCTTTTGACGTCATGGTTAACATGGCTGATATTAGTTTGATTGATGGTGTAAAAATCAACTTAAATGCAGCACCTTATGTTCCAATTATGGAGAGTTAAAATGGCCATTTCCTGCTTTGCTGATGAGGTTTTTTTTTTTTTTTTTGAGGTTAAGATTAATCAGGACCTAATTAATAACAATTTAAACTGGAGTTTGTGTGTATGTGTGTGTGTTAAAGCGTTTGAGGGGGAGCAAGAATGTATTCCCTCTATTTTTATTGTTAAAGTCTTGTTTTAATAATGGTGTGTGTTTGTGGGTGGTGTTGGGTGCTGAAGAGCTACTGGCAGGACCACTGGAAAGTATTGGGCTATATATGAAGAGACACATTTGGATTTCTATTTCTTGTCATGGTACTCTCAATAGGACCACTATCAGAGCAGTGGCATTGACATGTACTTGAACTTTATCTCCACTCACACGCTCTGTTTTTCTCCTTTTTTCCTCCAGCTGCTATTATTTTAACAGTCAACTTTTCACTCTTTGTGTCTGTCTGAATTACGTAAACAAACGTCTGTCTGTGTTGTGCAGCCCTCTGTGGTGTCTTGTCAAATTATTAAAGGTGTTTATCATTTAAAATCCGAGGTTGGCTGATTTATCATTTTTAACAGACACAGTGGAATACATTACAGAATTATGGGAAGACTGGAAACAGAAGTGGCACTGGTCCATAGGCCTGTTTGCAATGTGTGTCCTGATTTCAGTCTGAGTGCACTGTACCGTAGGAGTCCACAGGGTGGAGCTGTTGCATATATTAAGTAGCCCTTTACCCATATTGCCTGTACCCCACCTGGTTTTCACGCGCAGGTTGTGTGATTGGTACAAAGATCGGCAAGTGAATAAACACGTTTCCCAAAATCTCTTTTGTAATGTCTATAACTATTTCTTTAATACTTACCTGCAGTGTTTCCTCTTATCTGCATTTTTAGATGGTTCAAGAGAAAGAAATGTGATCAGAGTACTGAATCTGTAGCCTTTAGGGAAGAGCAATAAAGGCTTGTTTATAATTTTGAGAAATGGGAAATAAGTTAGAAGCGTGGGCTAAACTTTGTATTGTGTGTTTTACAATAACTCCTAACCTTTGACCTTGGATGTGCCACAGATTGTGGACATATCGTCACGTTAACAAAATAAGTGTTGTACAGGCTTATTAATGGTAAAACATTAGTCATGGAAACACATTAAATATATATATGTGACCACATTCTTGCAAAATAGTTTTGGTGTTCAAGTTCATCCTGAGTGACAGTGACGGAGTCTGTTTGTGCTGGATAGAAATGTTATGGGTATGGCAGGTACGTAAAATAGCTACATCTAAAGCTCAGGGCCAGTGTCTCTATGAGCTAGTAAATGAACTAATCAGATAACACTTAATTCTCTACGCAGAAATCAATTTATTCTCTAAACTAATTTTATCTTTTAACAACATGAGGAATAAAACCAAAATTCTCCATCCTCTCCCTGGATACGACAGTGGTTATTTTTACAGCCTTGTGCTTTGGGTCTTGTGTAATACTTCCAGGAGGGGCTGTGGGACCATGATCACCTGCTACACAGTTATGGTGCTGACTAGCAGCGGGGGCCTCTGAATGTGCAGGGTAGTTACAGGTTTGTGGGACCTGAGAATCTTTTCACAACCATTACTGCTTATTTAAATGAACTATCTAATTTACTAAACTTACTTACTTTCCCTTTACCAAAGTGAAAAATAACCGTTAGCAGCGACCAAAACATCACAGTGGTGCTTCGAACTAAATGCTAACATCAGCATGCTAACATGCTAACATGACAATGTTGTATGTTTACTATATCCATCTTAGTTTAGTGTTTGCCTGCTAACATTTGCTAATTACAGCTGAGGCTGATGGAAACGTCATAAGCAAAGCAAGCAAAGTAAAGTATTTATCAAAATAAAAAAATTACAAAAATAGTTGCGTTTTTTTATATAATAAATAAAAATCGTAGGCTTCATGTTGCAGTGAGAATAAAATCATCAAAAGTTTGGTGACGTTTTGTACGGGGGACTGGTGTGATTGGTGAAACTCGCAGCAAACAACAATAATTGGTCAAATTTGTGAAAAAGTTGCGGGGATTGGACAAAAACTCCAAGGTCGCTCAGAATTCCCAGGGGTTGGCTGAATTTGTGTTAATTGTTGTTGATCGCAACGTCGCAGCTTCCTGGAGGAATTGAGACACAGACACACATCGGGGTGTATTTTACGCTCTTAGAGTGGCTGAACAAGAATGACGCAGACCAGATAGAAGTCAGTGGGTTCGCTTTCACTGTGCCAGGCTGGGGGAACAACAAACAGATGTTTCTGGAGTGTCTTTACTCTGCTGGAGGGGCTGATGGACTGGGATGAGACCCAGACACCAGTGGAGCATGTGTAGGTTGCTGACAGATGTTCTGAAATGTTTGGTGGTGATGTGTCTGACAGAGCTTTTATTGATTTCACTGTGGTGAAAAGGTGTCAATGAGCATGATACTTATAGAATTGGAATACTGGAATTAGTTAGGTCCACTTATTACAAAAGCAGTCCATCACACATCTACAACACACAGTTGCCAATTTAAAAGTTTAACAGTGATTAGAGTGCATCCTGAGAGGGACAGAAATGTGTGTACAGAATTTCATAGTAAATTATCCAATAGTTGTTGAAACATTTCACCCTGAACCAAAAAAGTCCGTGGGTTCCATCCAGGAGTTGTTCAGATATCTTTCCGGACCAAAGTGGTGGACTGACTGACCACTTTACTTGACTAGAAATCAAACTGACATCACCCACCACTGTAACAGTGTTTGTAATAGTTTAACATCATACATAACAGTATGTTTGATATTTTTCCAATATAGAGCTCAGCAGCACCCAGTCTTACAGAAGTAAACAACAGGGCCATCTCAACCACAATAGAACTGGACATTACACACCCACTCAACCAATATCTCACCCCACTGCCTTCTGGGTGGAGGTACAGAACACTGAGGTGCAAAAAAGTTCACTTTGGAAAAAGCCTTATCCCTGTGGTTTGTGGATATGTTGATTGTGGATGGTGTGTTTCTTTGTTGACTGTATGGTGTTGTCTGCAGGTGCAGTGATGTGGAGATGAATTTCCCCCTTGGAGGACAATAAATTGAATCTTGATCTTGATCTTGAGCAGATCTTGTATGCTGTACTGTAAACAGATACACTGTACATGTAATGTAATGTGTAATGTAATGTGGGGCATCACTTTAATGGTCGCTGTCAGGCAGAAACCTTGTATCTTCATATTTCATCTTTTTTTTGGATAAATTAATGCTATTGATCACTCCTTATGTCTCTGTGGGGGTTTCATGAATATTTAACCAATGAGAAGTATTAAAACCAACAACACCAACATTCACTTCTACGTGGCAATGAGACAATTTAAGGTTGTGTTCCATTTAGTGTATCAGACCATTTCCAGTGAGCCAACATGCAGAATGGCAGCACCCTGACTCTGTTTGAGCTGAATGGAACAGAACCTGAGTTAGTATCCGTGGTAACACTTGTGTTTACTCTACAATTTCATCTCTAAATGGCTGCTGTGAAAATGGTCTATTGTAAAAACACAGAATTGTTTTTAATTTCCTGAAAAGTAACGGTTTTGGACATACAAGGTTTCTGCCCAATAGCTATGATATGCTGTGAGAACCTGAGAGTTAAATGACATGGAAACAAAGACTGTATTTAGATTGGACATGCATAGAGCAGCATATAGAGACACGAGACACATCAATGTGAAGGACAACAACAGAACAACAGCAGATGAATGACGTTCACAAAGGAACCAATCTCTTAGCGTGCGTGAAACAAGGTCAGTGGCTGCTGCTGGTCTGGACACGCGCTATATGATAGGGCCAGTCATAGTTAGACAGACAGACAGACATACAGACGACAACACTACTATATGTTTTCAGACACATAGCTGCCCTTTAACTCCCTCATATGTGCTATCATATCCTGGTCAAATGCCTTCTGTAGCCTCCCTCTTCACACTACAGAAAATACACACGCTGTCTCCGAGCCCTCCACAAATAGTCCCGTCATACCCACATCTTTCGCCACCATGAGGCCCGCAGCAGAGCATTGTTGTTGTGTGGATTATTTATGACATTGTTTTTGTTGAAGAAGGTCGACCGGTCATGTCTATTAAGTGTGTTCTTGTAAAAAAAAAAAAATATATATAATGTATATACTATGTAAGTATAATAATGCAGTTACCGTATTGTTGAACTTTTAGTGTCGGGATTCTGTCCTGCAGCTCTGTGTGTTGTGTCCATACATTTATGTACATCATCAGTATTTCTCACGTTATGCTGAGATTCACAGACAGGGTATCTCACTCCTGCAGGAGCCAGGAATGACCTCACTCCTACTGTAACCATCATCGACCTTACACCATTAGAGCCTATCGAGTGACACGCCATGCTAAGCCCGGTGCTACTGAACCATTTATAACAGCGATGCGTCACGTCATTACTATGATGACTTCTAAAATCATAAAGTTTATACTATGGGTATTCTCCATTTCTAAATACAGCAGCGTATGACTGCACGGTCCATTTTTGTTATGTACGCAATAATTTCTGTCATTTAAAGAAGACTGTGACAGGTGAGACATAAAGATAAAAATGGAAAAGGATGAGAACACAAAGTGGTCACTTTATTATAGACAATGAAGTAGAAGTCTAAATTATTCTTTTATGCACAGACATGTTCTGCAGGTCAGACTCTGTAGTGGCACATTCATGGCACCTAGACATTTACAATATTTAGGGTGTTAAAATACATAAATACAAGGCTGGCAGGGTAAAATCATTAAATGCTGTTTATGCCAAACTACAGTACACATAATTATCAGTCTCTGCTATCACACAGTTATTATGTACAGTACTGACCAGTGTTTTGGGGGCCCTTGGCAAAACCCTGACATGTGTTTTATTCTCAACCTTTCTTGGTGGAGAAGGTCTCAAACACACATTGTTTTTTTTTAAACATTTGGTATATTCACAGACAGCTAACCTTGTCAAATGGCAGTGGTGGGATTTGAACCCACGCCTCCTGAGAGACTGGAGCCTAAATCCAGCGCCTTAGACCACTCGGCCACACTACCTCCTCTCACTGTTCCCTATCTGAGAATCTGGGTTTTCCAAGAGTTAGACAAGAAGGTCAATACAACTTTCATGTTTGTATGGTATAGTGATGGTCTCTCTTTTAGTGAGCCATATAATCATCATTTTTTCATTTAGTACCACTTTTGGCATTTATAATTCAGCCAACTTTAGCAATATTTTTACCTCCTATTGGTGTGCACATGTATCTCATAACATATTAATTGTAGCCTATATGCTAAACCTTATCATTTCCAGAATACCACAATTTTACATTATGTTTGGTATGAAAACCTTTTATAATGTACAAACATCAAACACTATTATACATTATTTACATTGAAATATGTTTTATGTGTTGGTGGTAAAACTTACACCATGCTATAGTCGTACAGTTATTAGCAAAGTGACATTTCTGGATTGTATTCACAAATACGTTACAGG